GCTAGACATAAACAGGCTTCTATACCAACATTTGTGATAATATATAGTTGACGATCCATATTTAAACAAGAAAACAGTAAGCCTCATTAAATTTTCGTCCAAAATCGAATGTATATAAAAATAAATTCTTGCAATTCGACATAGTAAAAGGGGAAAAAGTAAGAAAGAAATAAAAAAAAAAAAAAAAAAAGAAAGGAAAACAGCAGGAAAGACCGAAAGAAAATGAAATTGATTTCATTTGTTTTAATACTACGAGCAAGCCTAACTGTAGAAAGCAAATAGGAATCTGCAATCATTCCAATGTTAAAAGTGATTATAGAACGTAAAGTGTCATATCATGTGCTGTGCTGATATACAATAATTATCATTTTATATGTTTCGGGTACTATTTTTCCATTTGATTTCATTTTTAGAAATGTCAGTTAATATATTACAGATGAAATTTCATGAAAACATGAATACTTTCCGAAGATACCGATAATAATCATGCACCTGAAATGTTGAGTAAGACCGGATACAGGAGGGGTGTAGGGGAGTTGAAAAATCCCGCGAGTTTTAGGCGAGAAATTGCATCGGAAATGTGACGAAATCATCGCCCGAGGGCTAGGGAGAATATGATATGCGATATCAAATAACAGAGGGCAACTTAAGGTCTCTGCCAAAGCCGAAAGTTTTTCTTTTTCTTCTCTCCTTTTTGTTAATTTTAGTTTGACACGAAAGTTAAAGGGGTTCACTATTACTGCAAAGTAAGAGAACGTACATGATTGTATGCGAACTTGGAGATCACTCCTATATATTCTGTTATCATGCAATGAGATGTCGACCACAAATTATTTTAATGACAACACAACATTCGAAATCAATATCAATCTGTAACATATATTATTAACAGTAAGAAAGGATTAGTGAGAAAGTGAAATGAAAAACAGGTAGAGAGAGGATGCGAACATTAGAATGAGAAGAAGAAGATGATGATGATGGTGATGAAGGAGGGGGAGAAGGAGGAGGAGAAGGAGAAGGAGGAGGAGGAGGAGGAGAAGAAGATGGTGGTGATGATTGTGGTGATGATGGTGGTGATGATGAAGGAGGAGGAGGAGGAGGAGGAGGAGAAGAAGAAGAAGAAGAAGAAGAAGAAGAAGAAGTAGAGAAAAAGAAGGGAAAAAGAGGAGTAGGGGAGAACAACAACATGAAGAATCAGAGGAGCAGGAAGATCCTAAAATGAAAAGGAAAAGGAGGAGAGCAGAAGAAGGACAGAGCGAGAAGAACTGAGTTAGAGGAATAGGAAATACAAAGGTATATAGCTTACAACAAAATTAATATATCTACTCTCTTTGAGAAAGCACCAGGTCCTACGACCACAACTTTATCCTCGCATACGACAAGCTACCTCTGTACTTTCTTCCACGCTCAGCCTACCCCTCCCTTTCACTCTACCGAAGTGCAATGAACTCTGCCGCACTCGTACGTGACATGGTAAATTGCATTAATGACTCCGTCCAGTTATGATTCGCAGTATACATAGATTTGTTTCCTCGAATCATATTTGTCAATCACACTTCAACTCTCCGGCCTTCAAACTCGGTTACTATTTACGGCATCGCACCTGACGAAATGCCACGCTGTGTCAGCGTTAATTCGATAAACCCCTTTTTCTTTAACCCTTTTTTTCTCTTATTCTTTAATGACCAAGTCGGGGCAGGAAATATTCTATCAATTTAACGAATTGCCAGACTTTCCTTTGATTGGAGGTTTATTAGCACCAAGGGAGCAATATTCAATATATTCATTCGAATCACTTTAATAACCATTAAACATTATAGGAAAATTGATTTTAGTCGAAACCGGACAAGATTACAGATGGGAAATTCATCGCCGTGTGCATTGGCAGATACAAGGTGGAGGTATGAACGTGATGACTGACTATTCGCTGATGGGATGACCAACGCTTGAACACTACACTTGCAATGGTGTCAAATTGAGTTCTTTAGGCCTGTTATAGATTTAGCTTTCTTTTAAACTTTATAGTGATATTATGACCAAAACTTCACACATCTAAGGTCGATAGTATGTGAGATTATTGCCAGTGCATTCCCTCAAAGATTGTTATTTAGAAAGTTGTTAAGTTGAAAATAGTTTGTAAGTATGTAGATGTTAAAACAAAATGCAATTATTGGAGGTAAAACTAATACTATAGTCAGAGTTTACAATAGTATGAAGTGGTGATTTGCGGAAACCATATGACGGTAATGTGCAGATGAAGAAGTGTTTGAAAACCAAACAGCTTTGATGACATTATCCAAACAGGGTTTTTAATTTTTTAATGCAGTACTGGTAAGATGTAACATTTTAAGTTGACAATTTAAGTTTTGAAAAAAAAAAGGCCTGTGGATTTTTTTTCTGTTCAAAATTTATCTCAAAACCCCGATTCTTTGCACAGCTCTGCCATCCATTACACCCCATCCTGTCTTTGTCACTTCCAGCCCACCCCCCCCCCCCCCTCCCTCCTCGATTTGTATAACTGACAGTCTTACCAGTTTGGAATGTTAATTCAATTAACACTTGAAAACGTGTTAATAATCAGACTTGTACAGGAAATTGTTTATAAGCCACCAGAACAGCCTACATAGTTCAGACTGATTGTCATAATATCTGCATTCTAGTACCTGTAAAACTGATCCCCTTGTTGCCTTACCAATAAGAAATATACTAAACACGAGTTTAAAAAGAAAATGTAGTCTAATTACCACAGGTGCACATTTTTCATGAACTGTTTCTGGAAGAAATTAGAACTTATGCCTTCATTATCATATAGACCTGCCAAATGACGATTTGGCAATAACGCTATACAAAAGCGCTAAGATAATTTAAAAAAATAAAATAAAAAAAGAATTCAGCAGAGCAGTACAATTTGATTGTGAAGCCAACTGAAATACACCTTCCTTCCTTAATCAACTTAAAAGAATGGTATAAGGAGGGGGTAAGACGTTGGTATTCGTCATAATTATACCAAGTTTTCGAACGAGACTAACAACGATCCGCACAAGGGGCAGTTTAGATATATTGGCGTGTCCTTAAACCAAGGTCAATGAGGTCATGACACCAGGGGTCGATGCCCTCTTCCCAACTTTAAACCGGAGAAGAATTCTGTGAATGGTTCATGGGGACGTGATGACGTATGAGGGGGGCTTGGTAAGACCCCATCAATCACAAAGAGGGGTTATTACTTTACATCGGAGTACTCACGTTGGGAAATACTGATAATTATTTGTAACCTAATTACATCGGTGTGCAAGATTCGGGTCCGTTAGAAGTGAAAAGGAAAGATCGCGACCTTAAATAAGAAGTTTGTTGGTAAATGCTTGATGACGAAGCAACATCGTTTGAGGCGCTTCTCTATCTTTCAAGGTACAATGGCGTGAAGATAACAGAGAGCTGTCTTGCTGATTGATGATAATCTAGAATCATATCTACTCGCTTCGAGAAAGTGTTGATGAAAATGAGCTGGGTAATTCTGCGAGGGTAACTTGGTAGTGTAGAATGGATGTATCATGCATTTTATCAAAGCCATGCATTTTCATTTTTCATGAGGTTAAATCGACGAGGACGCAGTGCATCTTTGCATGCTCTTGTTTAATCATGAATTCGAACCCATTATAGTAACACTTCAGTATAATCAGTTCATTATTACCTGTAACAATTTACCATTCTAGCTATATCAACCTTGCACCTTAAAAACTATGTCCAGGTATAGTTTTGTGATGTTCATGAACTCCGTCTCTATTATTATGTCGCCAGAGTGCCAACTTTGACGCCGCGGCAAAAGTGACTGGCAAACCAATAGAGGGCAGCAAACTACAGAAGTAAACGGTGAAGCGCAAGCAAAAGCCCTAATGGTGTAGAAAGGCAGAACTCCTAAAATAATGTTGTGGTAGGCTCCATCGTCCAGAATTACTGATGAATGATCTCAGGCTTCAAAGTAGAAATCTAACATGGGGACATGCGGTGTCTTTACTGATATGTAATTTTTTTTAAAATTATTATTATCCGAATGATAAATAAATATGAATGCATTTTCACCAATGGCTCTTGTAGCAATTGTAAAACTGTTATATTATTTGATTATAGGTACGAGAGGAACATTTTTAATTTTTTTTTAAATCTTTGATCAAATTGTCGTTAGTCGACGAAAGGAACATACTTAATATTATGATAAACTGATGTACTCGTTGTTTTTTCCCATTTTGTGGTCGTGGTAGGGGAAGGGGTGAATGGTTTGTTTTGCATAATGCATTAAAGGCCCACTGCACTACTTGTAGCTACTTGCTCCCTCTATATAGAAAGCAATGCCTAATCGGTGACCATTGGTCCCCCGTGACCCTGTTTTTCTTATGTTATTTGAGAGCTGAGTTGATGAGATAACCACCTGTCCAGTGACCTTGCAGAGTGCTCTAATCCCTCCTGTAAACTAGTACAGATAAGCTTTAAGGAGTACATGTACGCGTGCACATCAAATCAAGCTATCAAGGTGACAAAATAAATGCTTATATGAGAAATAGTTATAGTTTTAGTTATAGTTATCTTTGTGTCATTATTGATTATTCTTTTCAAAGTAAAATCTTTTTTGATATAGATTTAAAATTGTTGTCGGTTTAAAGCGTCAATTTCTTTATCCTCTTCGCATACTTAGTTTTACTACCTTTCTTCATAATTATGATCCTTCTACACATGAAATATATACTCTCGCTTTTGAAATGTTTCTTCCATTATAAAAGGCGCGATACTGTATTTTCATTCCCTCCTTTCTTCCCTTTCACTCGTCTCTCTCTCCCTCTCTATCTCCTCACCCTTTGCCTCTCTCTCCTCTCCCTCTCACGCCTTCTTCCCTCTCTATATACCTTATTTATCATCTGGTTTACTCTCTGCCACTTTCTTCTCTTTTTGATCTGACTTGCTTTTCAGATTGCATAGAAATCACAAAATAAATACTTATAACACCAATATTTGTCATATTTATGAATGTATTCTCCTTTACAATAAAGTTTGTTAAAAATTTACAAATTTACATATGTACATCATGTTTTTAAGATATTGTAATTAGCACTTGAAATCAGGTAAGAGTATGATAGAGATAAAAACAGAAGTTATTATATTTTCTCAAAAAGTCAGGCACATGTGTATAATAAGTGCAGTTTCCCCACTGAAATAACCATTTTTAATAGAATTGACACTAAGTAATGTTGCAGAATCAAGGTGAAATATTGCAGTAAATTTAAACACTGGTCCTTGTCAATCTTTTAATCCTTCGGCTTCTGGTCTTTGTATATATATGTAAATCGAAAGATATGTTTCACTGCAATATTTTCATGACAATTCTTTCACTATTTACATGTACTGTACATGAGTATATTCCAGGGCTGTGGTCATACATTGAACCAAGTGGACTTAATCTCCACCCCTTGCAAATGAAGCAAAATTGGTATAAGAAATTTGAAACTTAAAAAGAAAAGCTCTTGTTGTAACAACCTTGCATATATTCAAAGTGTAGAATATGAAAGACATCTCTTTGAAAACAGTGTTTTCTGGTGTTTTTTAATAAACCAATTCCAAAGCTCTTTCTTCTTTGTAGATGTTTATCAGAAGATGTATTTCACTGCATACTTTTCATGACAATCCTTTCAGTATTTACATGTTAATGCATCCTCCAATACTCATGACCCAAGTTAACTTTACACCCTTCTCTTGCAAATGAAGCTAAATTGGTATGAGAAATTTGAAACTTAAAAATAGGTTCTTGTTACATCAATCTTGCATATATCAAAAGTGAAGAAAATGAAAGACATCTCGTTGGAATGCAGTGTTTTCTGGTCTTCTGCAATAAATCAACGCTATTAAGGCTCTTACTTCTTTGTAAATGTACAAGTGTATATCAATGGATATGTTTCACTGCATAATTTTCATGACAATCCTTTCATTATTTACATGAACATGTATACTGTAGGGCCCTGTTTCATAAAACTTGTTATCAATAATATGCTATATTTTGGTGACAAATTTGCTCTCAGCCAATCAAATGCCACAATTTTAGTAGCTTATAACAGTTAATGTAAATTGTTATTGATAATACGTTTTATGAATCAGGGCCCTGACTGTGGTCATACTCTGACCCAAGTGAACTTTACCCCCACCACTTGCACATGAAGCAAAATTGGTACGAGATATTTAATTGAAACTTTTGAAAACTGTGTAACAAGAAAAACTCTTTGTCAAAAATCAATGTTGCATATTCAAAGTGAAGAAAATGAAAGACATCTCTTTGGAAAACAGTGTTTGAGAAAGAATCCCAGAGTTGCAACTCAGTTTCAAGGCAACCATTTAAAATAAATGAAAGGCAAAATATCATATCCTAAACAAAAGGAATATCTGTTTTCGTGAACCATCTATGCTACAACTGATTCTCTTCTGAACCTATTTTCATATCTGTCCCATTCACCATACATTTTTGGAAGAAAAAAACGTACATTGAAACATCAGTCCCAACATATAAGCTGTGTAAATGCATAAATATAATAATAAATGAGTTTGGATAAAGAGCATTTCCTTTTTTTTCAATAAGAGTTGAAGCGCAACTGGTAATATCTCCAACTGAGATTGAAATCCTGGCTGCAAGGTTAAATAAACACAACCAGAATTAATCTAATTTCAAAAGCAGATGATCATGTGTCAAATATCACACATTAAACTTGTAACACAGTGTCGAATTTTACAATATGCTTATATAGGAATGAGTCCATTTTTTTCTGAGTCCCAAGTTTAGTGAAGAAGTTCCATAAAAGATGCATCAAAATTTGAAGAAACACCATAATGTGGAATCGCAAATGAAATTATCGCTTCCCCTTCTTTCCTTTCTTGCCTTTCTTTCCCTTCTTTCCCTTGTTCTTCAGAGCCTTCCTGCATTTGTATGACCTCCAGAATGACTGGATCATGGTTGAAGCCTTGATCATCATTGCTAGTTCTCTCTCTTCACGTTCCTTCTTCTCCTGTGCGATACGCCTCTCCTCGACGATTCTTGTGTATTCCTCTTCCAGGGTCTTGAATCTTTCCTCCAGTTCGTTGAGCTGGGTTTTCTCCTCAGTGTAGATTGTATCGAGGTCTTCAAACTCGGCCTGGAGATATAAAATATGAAGCTCAATTAATACCTCACTCAAACATATTCAAGATATACTATTATCTTACATGTCTCAAGTTATACATGTATTTCAATTACTATGCCAGATTTTCATTCCTAGTTGCAAGATTCTGAGGGAAATGCTATTGGATTTGTAGAACTTGTATGAAGAATATCAAATCTCTCCCAACCTCCCCATTTATCTCTCTCTCTCTCTTTAAAAACCATCCTACATATCTAAATTGACTCCAGAGGACCCTGTAAATAAATGCATCAGTCAAATGAGATGCCCCTTCATCTATTGAATTTCTTTCTTGCAGTCCAAAATGTACGTGCTTGTAAAAGCCGATTGTTGAAATATTGAAACAGTATGCCATATCCACATAACAATTCCCTTGTCTGATTACCGGTAAACGACAGCATATGGTAATTATAATATTTAACATCATAGAAATATGTGAAATCATACATGTTTCATTATGCATTTATGCATTTCATCATGGCTTATTACAAGTCTATTTCTTTGACATCCATACCAAGATAAGGTACACATATTTTGTTAAGAGAATATCAAAATCATGCAAAGAATTTGTAGCAGGTTCAGAAGAAGAATGGAGAACATCATGGTAATGTTAGCTTACCTGTCTTTCCCCCATATCTTGATCATATTTCTGAATCCAGTTTTCTACTTCAGTTTCAATCATGTATTTTCTCTGTAAACAAAAGTGGAAAAATAGGTTAAAACTGATTTCAAAATGAAAGCTGTAAGTTTGTTATTCTCTGAATACTACTGCTTTTGATAACAGCAAAGTATTAATAATTTATCACACAAAAACAATTTATCAACCTACTTTCTGAATCTATTGGACAAAGAAGTGGCATGAAGCCACAAGAACATGAGTTCTATCTAGATAAGAAATAGTGTAAAATATTGTTTACTGTATTATGGTTCTTGTAATCAGATTTGAAATTATAATCGATTGATTCAGTGTAATATGACATTTATCCATTTATTTTATCCACATTTGAACTAATGATTCTTTCTGGTATCACTTTAAATCTTTACTGGTACTTGGAAATTTTCACATAATTATTCAAGCATGAATTCCATTTCTAAAAGAGAAATATAAACAGGAATGTGAACCTCTGACTATTAAATGGAAATTTTGAAAGATTTTCCATTCTCTGGTCAAATCAATAAAAAAAAAAAAAACATTGTAGCCTACAGTTACATCGTACAGACATTGCATGGAGTCGCCCCAAAACAGTTGGACATTGTCCCCACCTTTCTCAAAGCCAACTCGCTCTCCCTGTGCTCAGAGGTCTGGTTGGTCAGCTGCGTTCTTAGTGTCTGAAGGTCAGTGTGTAACTTGGTCTGTTTGACCTCCGAGTTCTTGTAGTCGGCCTGTTGCTGCTTGTCAGCCTCAGACTTGGTTCTCCTGATATGCTCCTCGGAGAACTTCTCTAGCTGGTGGAGGTCCCCCTTCAACCGACGGATCTCGTCATTTTGTTTGGAGATCTGTTGGGATGATGGAAAAAATCATACTATGAATTAGAACAGACAAAAAAAAGATGTGTACTTTTAAATTTTGTCACATAGTTAAATGATATACCGGTATTCCCTTTTCTAAAAAGAGAAAAATACACAGGAGTGCGAGGGTCTTTTTTCCAGCTACAAGGCAATGACAATTTAGAATTTATCACAATAATGATAACTGAAGATGTAGATAATAGTTGAGATCTCTCTGAAAAATGTTAGTAATAATCAGTAACGAGCAAGACCTCATTGGGTCATCCATGTGAGCATATCATATTTACAGGTTAGCATTGACTTTTCCTTCTTTATTGTTCTTTCATAATAAATAGATATCTTTGAATTGAAAAAAATACTGCCAACATAATTATGCCTTCATTTAGTAACGATTTGTTTTGAATTAAATGCAGAATATAGTCTAGATCTACACTGTACCTTCATATCTTTATCCTCAATAGCCTCTTGCAATTCTGCAGAGAGTTTCTTGATGACTTCTGAATTCTTTCGCTCCCTGATGGTAATCTCCCTCAAATAATCTGTTTTCTCTTTCTCTTCCAAGGGTGTGGTGAGCAGTCTCTCCAGAATGAACGATCTAAGATCCCTCATATATCCGATCATGGAGCCAGCCTCCTGATCACGCTCTTTGACCTCCGACCTGAGGGCATTGACTGCAGCTGGGTTTAGGCTCAGCAACCGCAGGATATTCCTGCATGAGAACTTCAGCAGTTGCGCTTGAGCACTGACCATTTTGGAAAGGTGTACTTCTTCCTCATCAATAAGTGTCATTGATCCAACTTTATCTTCTAACGGAGTTCTCCTGCTCTCGATCATCTGAAGTTCATCATAATCATCGTCGTGCAGCTCATCCTCTGCTGCTGGGGTGGATTTCCGAGACTCTTTGTCCATGTTCTTGTAATCACTGAGTTTCTGAGCAGCATCTTTGAAAGCACTCTGAATTTTTTCATGTTCCTGTATTGCAACAACTGTTTCAACACCCAGAACCACGCTGAAGCGATTGACATTTTCACAAGCATATGGTAGCAAACTCACAACCTCTGCATTCTTGATGCTCTCATCCAAAACTGCCAAAATTCTTTGCGATTCAACAGTTGTCAGTTTCTTCCTTCCAGGATCTAGGATACGAAGAGGATCCGTTCTTTGACTCTTAGATTCCTTTGGCTTGGTGGGTCTGTGTGGTTTTACCTGTGGAAAGTCTATGTTGGGTCTTTCTGGACGCTCTTTGGGACCTTCGGCTCGAACCTTGTCGAGTAGACGGAACGTCTCCATCACGGCCATGTCGGCGAAAGACATTTTGGAAGTCGTATGTGTACCCTCTTTTCCTGAAGAAACTTAATCTGATTATAATTGATGATGAGGATTGCAGTTTTAAGAATAAAGTCGATCTATCATGAACAAAATCAGCAGAAGTCTCCACTGTTGTTTCCATAAACAAGCACCTGTTTCGTTCCTTCGCAAAAATAGACGACACCCATAGACAACACACGTAAATGGAGTAACCGCACCACAAATTCAATGCTGCGAATCACCCTGCGCGTAAAGAAATATAAGCAACAATAAAATAGCGTATATTTCGGTATGATTCTGATTTATTTCGAATGTGTTTATAAATTATATTTATTTAATACAGTTCCTAATGAAAAATGAACAAAGTCAACAAATATAAAGAGTTTTGAAGCTCAAATAATATCCATCCGCTTGCAGGTATTTGTGTGATACGGTTTCGTTGCTTGGTGACTTCTGAGAAAAGGTCGAAGAGGGTCAACTGGCGGAGCAAAATCTCGCAAATTCTCGCCTCGAAAAGCGAGATTATCAGCTGTTGGATGTAAACATGGCGGATTTGGAGGACGATCTAAATCGTGTCTCAGTAGAACTTGAAAGTCCATTATTAGCTGATCAGCAATCATGTCAGAGCTTTAGAACAGTCAGAAGTGGTGAGGAATAATGCTTGTAGATAAAGATACATTTAAAGTAGACATAGAGTCTAGTAGTTGTGAGTTACGTTTTATTGCGTTGTAAATTGACGATAATACGAGTGTTCGGCGTCTGCTTGTGATCATGAATGCTTGTGTTGTACGGGGACGTGACCCTGTCGTTGTTCGTGAGTGTCTGTACAAATAATGCAGCAGTGTGTGCTCTTGCACTTGCACTTAGTTGTGGCTTTGAGCATTGCAGCTGACTTGTAATAAATGAAACCTTATTGAAATTAGTATAATATGTAACAAAACACATTTCCAAAAGCATGAAGTTTTCATTAACCACAAGCTGTTCCTAAGTCCTGCGTTGTGTGTTAATGTGCCCTTGTTCATCAGTCTAGACGCAGGCTATGTTAAGTGGAAAACACTCTGTCCCTTGGATAGGACGTTAAATGGAGGCCCCGTGTAGAGAAGATTCACTACCTTTGCATGTTAAGAACCCACTGCACTATTCGTATAAGAGTAGGGGGAAACCCTGGTGTAGTGGTCCACCTGCACACACCCCAGTATAGTACGATAATACACTGTAAAGAGGTATGCACTCAAAATGGAAGAAGAAGAAGAACAAATTAATTATACTAGGTCTAGGCAGGTCAAGGTCTACATGGGCTGGAGAAAAGTGATGAGTGCTAGTGTAGTGCAATGGAAAGATCCGTCCTATGGCTAGACTCCGGGCTAGAGCCTAGCCTAGACCCTTAAACCTTAAAGAGCTGAGCCAATCCAAATCTACAAGAAATCAAGAGGGGCCGGATTGAATTCAATCGCTTCTTTGAGATGGACAACAGTGGTAGAGCCAAAGTTCATAGCATAAAACTCAAGAAATGTGGGTGCAGATAACACAGAATGCTTTTACATCAGAAAGCCTAAATAAATAAAATGCATTACCAGAGGATGAAGTCTGGTCCAATAGCATCTAATGGTACATGTTCAAATCTGCTCTTGAGAGGCTTTGTTGTTGTTGTGATTAATGGCGTTTCCATCGTCATTCGATGATTTCCTGGACGGACCACCAATTGGAAGTATTCACCATGCCATAGACAACCAAATGTGAAGAGGGACAAATAAGCTACAGCTTAAATTGTCTACACCCATGTCAACCCAAGTCAACCCAAAAGATTGGTAGATGTATTTTATTGAAAAGAAATAACAAAATAGTATTTAATCATTGTTTTGTCCCATCAAAATATACAGAGTTATATAATGGTGATAAACTTCTGGCAGTATTGTGAAATACATGTACATGTAGGAAACCACCATTCACTCTGCACAGTAGTGCTCAGTGTGTAACTTAGACACATGCATTGGTCTCCATTTCCCCACCCCATACAGTACATTCTATTCAAAAATGCATATATAGGTATGTGCAAACAAACAAGTGTTTTCCAAAACCACATAGCCAAACTTATTAACACTCTACAATTTAAAATGTTCTGAAATATCAAAAGACCAGTGTTTCTCAAACATTTCTTAATCACAGCATCCTTTATACCACATTAAGAGGATATTCAATAAGTTTTGTCAAAAAGTTCAAGTGAGTGAAGCAAATGAGGACAAAAAATATACTCAAAACGATAAATTTTGGTGCATGAGAGCCTGAAACCATCTCGTTTCTAACTTTTGGGAGCAAGCAAAGCAAATAGATACCTGGAACATGAGATTATATAAAACAAAATATTCTTATACTGGTATCTTCTATTGCTCATTACTGGCATTCATCTTTTGGCAGATCTGCATTTGTGTTAGCTTAATTTATTTCTACAGGAATTAATTTTCTTTCATTATCATAATTCAATACATATTTGTGGGCTGATGTCAGAATTCCCAATGCAATTTCAATACTGGATATTAAATGAACATACATTTTGTCTTGTTATTGTTCTTATTCTTATAGACTATCTCAACAATGACTCGGTTGCCACCAGCCCTGGCTTCCTCTCCCGGCAGACCTCCTCCCTCTCCGTGCCTGCACTGGGCAACTCTCAGGACTGGGAGCTCAACTACAGGGAGGCGGCTATCTACCTCCAGGAGGGGGAGAACAACGATCGGTTTGACACCCACCCTCGGAACCAGGATGCCCTCCCGGCGTACGTCATGGTCCACAACTTCTACTTCTACATCATGGACCTAGCGGCGGCCATGCTGGTCCTGCTCCTGGCACTGGTCGAGGAGCCGGCCGTCGATGCACTCCAGCTGCAGCCGATTGTAAGTATACATGAAAAAATGTTTGTTCAGTTTGTTTCTTGGCCAAGTTTGAGGTAGGAACATCATAGAAGTGTCTTTACTCTCATGTTCATAAAAAAAAATGCCGTCCACTCATATCCAACCAGACAAATTGATTTTTTTCACTTTTTCCACGTCCGCACTGTATTTTGCACTCAAAACAATAATCCATTCAGAACCAACATTTTGGAACGCGCTGAACAAGGAGATAATAGAATCCTGTTGTTGAATTTTTTCAAGCGTAAGCTTAAACAGTCCTTTTGGAATTCATATGACCCACATTGTAATTAAAGTACTTATGATATTCTACATTAAACATTCCATGAATATTGTCGCCTCTGTATGATTGTATATTATCATGATTGTTCATGTCTACTGCCTCGCTCGGGTGACCTTGATCAATGACTTCAATATTTTAAAGTGACTAGCTTGACATTTATTTGGTAACAAATTAATTTGTTTGCTGTTTCACTTTGTATATCATCTTATGTTAAGGCCTTCTTGCCCACCTATTATTATTGTTACCTCCTTCACCATTGCAACCACTTCAATCAAATGTTAGTTTTATTTAGGGGAACCTATAATCTACAAGCTGAGCTTTTTAATAGGTTCCTCACATTTCACCCTGTATAACCTACTATTCATTACAATTAATTTTGATGTCTTTACAAAGAATTGATTATATGATGTGATACTTTTAGTATATTTCATATTATGCTCTAATTTCGTCAATTATGTAAATTCTTTCTGGTGAATTGTGAAACAAAATAAACTTGAAATTTGAAACTTGAAGTACTGTACTTAGTTTCTTGAGTGGTGTCATTCTTCAGCTGTTGTAGAAGATAGTGCCACTCTTACATGCACATGTAGATTGTATCAATACATGTTCTCTACATAGAGCTGTGTCCTTGACAGCAGCAGTCAACCTCTCAGTTCTTCTTCTTCTTCTTCTTGTTAAGTCTGCCTCCTTAAAATTGACTGAAAATGAAGTTGACTGAAGATTGACTGAAGATGAAGTTGCAGATGTGTATATTATAATGGAATGGCTCGCAATAATCAGAAAGAGAAACTTTAATTTTGCAAAGTAAGATCCATTAGCTTCCTCCTACAGGTGTACTTTGTCCTGATCATGCACAATTTTCAGGCTTTTTTTACCTGATATCTGCAGATGAACAACAAGGAAATAAATAAACTCACAAACATTCATTTCATTTATTTAATTTATTTGTCAAGTACCACTATACATGTACATTTATAAGTCCATTTCTCCATGCATCATACATAACAGATAGAGAGGAAGTAATATTATGCCGTGACAGGATAACCCAATTAGCTTTTTTCCAATGGATCCAAACTCCTAGAAATATATTAAGATAATTGATCAAGTTAAAGTATCGCAAAAAATGATGACCAAATACCCAGTTTAAAAGGGCCGTACTCATTTTCTTTTGCCTTCATCAATTTTTGTTCACATTTATGATTCTGCCTTACAGTATGTACTATTATAATACAGAAGTTTTAATGTATTTTTGTTATTTCCTTGTTACCATGAAGCAATAAAAGTTTTAAATATAACAAAAAATTTATAGGATCGTTGACATAGTATAAATTAGATTTTATATGAAACCAGTTTCCTGAAGGGAGTTAAAAAAAATCTAAAGAAAAAGTAATGTGTGATCTTGTCAGCTTTAGTCCCTGACCTTAGCAAAGCCAAGTAGTATCAAGATACTAGCTACCATCATGTAAGCATTAAGCCTGTACAGTCAATGTATAAGGTATGTCAATGCCATATGATCGATCGCCTGCCAGTCCTAATCCAGGTGCATAGATAAGATACCTTGTAGGAAATGGATACTTCCCTAAATGGCTGTCGTGCAATAATTACGTAAAGGTTAGGATAATACTTAACTTCCAAGGCAAGCTAGGATCTAATTTTAAAAGTACATGTAGCTCCCTACACAGTGATCATATAAAATGCTCTGTTAATGGAACACGCAAAGTTTAGAAATACAGGCAAGCTAGCTTTCATAATGTCATAAGGATTGCATCTAAAGTGGAACAAATATTATACCTTGTAAAGTACACAGCGCTTTCTTTTGTATATATATATATATATATATACAGTGGCGTACGCAGGATTTTTTCAAGGGGAGTGTTTTCAAACTGGATTGCATCATTTATGTGACCCCACAAAATATATTTGGCGGTGAATCAGCCAGCTGGTGAATAAGCAGGGGGGGGGGGGTAGTGTGTACTTCTGTTGGTACTGAACACACACCCCTTGAGCAAAAAAAAAAGAAGAAGCTTTTTTACCTTTTTTTTTTTTTTTTTTTTTTTTTTTTGGGGGGGGGGGGGGGGGGGGGTAAGGGGCCCGGGATCCCCCACTGACAGAAACATTAAGGGGGGGGGGGGTTGTGTACGTGCCTGTATATATATATTTTGTTTGTTGTTTTTGAGGGGGGAATGATAATGATGATTGAGAAATACATTTATCAAATCCTACTAATTTAAAAATTTGCCATCGACAGTGTTTGGTATACTATTATACAAGTTTGTATTTGCAGATTTTCTCTCTTCCATAAAAAGTCCCTGATTTCATTAGTTTTGGAAAGTCTATGAAGTACTCACTACATGTTTAGAAAGCCATTGCCTCAATACTGATGTCACAACAATGTATTTAAGGAATAAAGAAGCCAGAAAGAAAAAGCATTCATCATAGTGAGAAAAAAATTAGTATTGTCAATGATAAGAAACATGTGAATTACATGATGTAGCACTGGCAAAAGATGTAGTCATGTTGTGTGTACATGACATGTATGTGACATGAAATTATAAAGTATAGCAAACACGTATGAAGGACTCCTATACAATGCATTGGTACATGCACATATATTATACATGTAGATCTCCAATACTACATTTTTTATGAATGTTACTTGTACTGTTCAAACAGCAGAGGTCATCATTCTATTGTTCTGGTGCAGTTTTTGTTCTCTTTACCCTAATGCAAACAAATAACATTCCGCATTTGAGTTTAACCATGTGTGCAGTGCCAGGCCTAGTTTATCCAAAAAGCATGAAAACATGAAAGAGTCATGAAAAACAAATATTTTGTTAACATCATAAATAAGCAATGCTGACTACATACAGTGTACAGAGTTGAATAATCAGTCTGGACCCTTATGTAAATATGTAAATAGGGGCAACTATGCACTTAACCCCGAATATGGTTCTCTTGGCCCTAAATGAAAAACAAAATGAATAAAATACCTGCAGTGTGGTTTATGAAGCCCTGTCATAACTTTGCATTATTATAATAGCAATGGCCTTACAGTTACATTGAACATTGTCATAATTCCATTTGATTTTTCAGGATGTTTTATATATACACGTTATTTTCTTAGTACTCAATGGGTTGAAATTTCTTAAATTACAAGTATAACCTGCAAGTATTATGCAAGTTAAAACAATATATAGGGAGGGAGGAGGATGAAGTACATGTATATGATATCATGCAAGACATTTAAATCGTAAATTGTAAATTGTAATTTTAATTTGAGTGCATGTAGGGCCTCAGTATTTAGTTTCATGAATATGTCTATATGTACATGTAGGAAAGATGACGTACTGTATAAACAAATATCATCGTACTTTTAAGTTTGATTATGATTTGAACACTTGTTTACTTGAATGTAAACAACTTAAGGGCAATTTCGATAACTTATTGTAGATTACCGGTATCCTGTTTGGATAATGTAATACACATATCATCGTCATGAATCAACACATTCAATTTCAATAGATGATGTGCAAGACGATTTCAAATTGCCTGAGGTCCATTTTGTTTTAAAAAGTATTTGTGATCGGGTTTTTTTTAATTTAAATTTCAAAAATTTGTTTAAAAACAAATGCTGTATGTGTGAAGAAAGCTCAAGTTGTTTTCAGGTCACCCGTAGTCTGATGAACTTATTTATTGGTTTTTCTCATTGGTTCCTGTAGAAGTGCACTTTTTTCACATGGGGACATTTCACTACAAAGTACAATGAAACTAGGTCTCCCCGGCAAGTGGTACTAAGCACTTCTTTCAAGTCCTCCCAGTCTAATGGAAAATTAAAATTCAGTGAACAATTGGCTAAAATCCGCAATCGATTGGAGCCTCTTTCCCCTGTGCTGTCGTCAAATGTTCATTTCTAATGACGGCGCTACTGCGATAATCCACGCCGTAGTAACACTTAGCTCTAACCCAGGAGTGTGTCGCGTTAAAAGACATTTTCACGTGGCACTCCATAGTTTACTAGCAGGTGTATTCGTCTGGATAGGCTTCGGCCTTGAGTTTGCTTGTTTACAAAAGTTGTACAGATCCTACTACGTATTTCCCTCGCCCTATATTCTTTTTTTATTTTCTCTTTATTTACTGTCTTGAATATGAACCATGTGTGTCTGGTATAGAAACCTAATTTCCAAAGCCCATTCTAGTCGACCGCCATTTATTTAAGCATTAAGGTACTGTAAATGCAAAAACTGTTTAGAGTTTGTGTGCGCTTTTTGTCTTGTACTCTTTTTCTCAAACCTGCCTCTTACATACAATGCATGCACTTGTCTCTCTCTCTCTCTCTCTCTCTCTCTCTTTCTATCTCTCTTACTTTCTCTCTTTCTCTTTCTCTCATTCTTTCTCTCACTCTCTGTAATTTGTGAAAGGTAAAGGAATTTTTGAGTACCTCATACAGATTAACAGTAAACAAACAAATTGCAAGGAATCACACAATCCAGTGAGCTAACTGGACTCTAAACAAATTGTACTTTGACACGATTAATGATCGAGTACAATTACAGACATGTTCAGTCTGTAAATATATTGTACCATAAAAGGATTCCTCATCGATTATAATACATAAAGATGGAGACAAAAAATGTACATGCATATTTGGCATCTATGAGTTTGATTATTATTAAACGTTTGTAGTGACACCTACTGTACATGTATTAGACAATATTGTAAAGAATAGTGCATCTACTGTAGGTATCATTCCATTGATAATACAGTAGGATAACTCTGTTTTCTCTTTTGTTAATGTATACATGTCAGAATAAAGTATATGATGCATTAACATCATATGAAATTGGTGATTTTACATAATTTGTTCTGGGACATTTCCTCCAGGCTTTTGTCAAATTCTCAGTGTTTGGGTTGTGAACTTTTGATTGGGTTTTTAGATTATTTTCAGGGTAATACGTTGAGGAGTAATGTTGCATGAATGTTTGAACTTTGGAATACATGCAACATTAAAGGCATCATTTAACATTGTTAAATCTGAGAAACATGGCCCTACGTGTTATCAGTGTTTGTGATATGGTGGAATATTGAAGCCCTAAAAATATTGCACTTCAAAATGATCATGAAGTTCCTCAAAAAAGGAAAAATCTATGAATGACCGGTTTTACCATACTCATTTTCCCCAATAGACTGTAGTGTTATGAAAACCGTTAGCAAAACTTGATTTAAATTTCCATTCACAAATATCTTGATAATCAGACAACTAGGTGATCAGCTTGTAAATTTCATGGGATTCTTGTATGCCCTAAAGTTTTATAATTATGATTGCAGCATGAGCTAAATCAAGGATTCTTTTAAGGATCAGAGACAAAGTTACTGGATCCCTTTAAAGGTGTTGTAGCAATTGTTGTAAGAGCCTTCATCATACAGTGAGGTCATTTTTTGTCTCTTTTATGTCTCTGTCTCATTGTCTGCCCCAACTGTTTTTGTCCTTCTGCCCCCCCCCCCTCTTCTTTTCCTTCTCTCTCTCTCTCTCTCTCTCTCTCTCTCTCTCTCTCTTTATGTGTGTGTGTGTCTCTCTCTCTCTCTTTCTCTCTCTTCCAAGCCCCCCCCCCCCCTTGTTCCTCTTTCTCTTTCTCTGTCCCATGTGAGATCAAGGTTTGTCAAAATAAGAACTAGTATTTAGCCCACTCTATCACAACTCTATCACAACACGAACTCCGTCAACAGGCCCAACTGTTCACACATACCCACACTGGCCGTCTCGCACCACCATCCCCACATCCAGCAGCCCTGTACGCCCGCCCGACTATTGTTTTTTCTAATTATCTTATTTCGAGGCGTCGGTAGCGATGGCGGCGGCGAGGGTCCTCTCTCAAAGTCTCTGACCGAACCCGGGGCTTAGCGGCTAGATCAACATGCCGACAGCCTCCTCGGTCTCGCATCTCATGCTTGGCTTTAATACGTTATCCATATTTGTCTTTCATTGCATGGAGTAGCAGTTGCAGAAATTGAGAGGTGCTAATAGCTGTGGTCCATGGATGCACTTTTGTTTATGTTGACTTTTATTTTAAATATAGGATCCGGTTACATGATTATTCTTTTGAAAAAGAAACAAGGTAGTGTTCGTGTGGTAATGAAGTTATGAATTTGATTGAAATTTTAAAAGTGTTTTACTAATTAACAAGATGTACATGTAAGTGTTACTTTTAATGAAGATTAAACTCTAAGCCTTCGCCCTTTTTTCTCTGATGATGAATTTTTATGACTCAATTAAATATTAATCGTTTTCAAGTATTTATGCTGCTATCCTTATTTTCAGTTTGCCTACCTTAAGGTGCCAGGCTTCATTAACATCATATCAAGCTTTATTGTTAACAAAAACACCCCAAAAGTGGCTTTCAAAAAAGAATGAGCGGTTGGTGTTAATGACAAGAGTCGTAGAGCTAGGAGAATGTCAGTATAAACTCAGTGCCAAATAGATTTCAATTTGAACTTCCTAAATAGTTACGTCAGTGCCATCTGCAAATCCGAATGTGAATAACCATTAACGTTTATTTAAAGAGAGGCAAAGGTTTGTTTACAGTACTTAGTGCTTGAAAATTTAAGGTGTTACAGCACGAATAATGTTTAGTTGTTTACAGTGCCGTTATTTGTATTTTGTATTTAGAAAAATTACATGTACATGTATTTTTCTTCACCAAATGGTGGATATTTAAAAGTCAGAGTACAATTTATTTCATGGTAACTTCAATGTACAATCATTCATGTCCATTCATCGTGAAAATCACTCTTCATCGCAATTATTGATGTTCTCCAGATCTCTTAGAAGAACAAATAAAAGAAATTTAAAATATGAATTATTTCATGTCGACCTCATTTTGAAATCAGTCCGTAGTGCATACATATACTTTTGATTGTATTTTGTGCATATTTCTTTCACTTTTAATTATGCAGTCATGACTTTGTTTGCCTTTTGATTACTTCATATATTATAATACACTTCTTAAAAAACTGACAGTTTTTTTCCTCTCTCTTTCTTTCTTTCTCTCTCTCTCTCTCTCTCTCTCTCTTTCTCTTTCTCTCACCCTCTCTCTCCCCTTTCTCTCCCCTCTCTCTCCCCTCTCTCTCCCCCTCTCTTCCCCCTTTCTCTCCCTCTCTCTCCCCTCTCTCTCCCCCCTCTCTCCCCCTCTCTCTCCCCTCTCTCTCCCCTCTCTCTCTCTTTCTCTTTCTCTTTCTCTTTCTCTTTCTCTTTCTCTTTCTCTTTCTCTTTCTCTCTCTCTCTCTTTCACTCACCCACTTTAGATCCATGCATCTCTGGAGCTGTTTGGCCTGACAGTCATAGCTCTTGGTCTTGGTCTTAAAATGAGATGGATGGGATTAAAGTCTTTTGTCAAACATAAAAGAACGTTACTCAAGGTAAGATAACCGTCTTCTAGACCAATCATAGATTTGTATATTATGATGTCCTGTTTATTGATTGGGCTCGCTTATGCATTTTGTAATCCAATGTCAAGTCTGTGGCTCTAAGGGCGTGTTTATGCTTCACTTTTTCTGGCCAGAATCAGGCATCTGTTACGCATTAAGTTTAAAACACGGTTGCGTCCATGCTCACTTTTATAGAATCACCGAAAAACGGCGATCACGATCGCCGATCGTAAACTCACAAAAAGATGCGTTTACAATTTGTAAACGCGTTTAAATGGGGTCAACGCACTGACCTCTAGTGGGTCTACGTAGCATGCACAGTGAAAGTTTGCGAATCCAGCTGGAATACCAATTAAGGCCACACACGGAGAATTGCCTGTAGGAGCCAGAGAAGTGAGCATGAACAGTACACCGTGGAACTGCGATTACGATGAGCGTTTACGATGAGCGTTCCAAATCGCTCATTCTACCTTCAAAAGTGAAGCATAAATGCGCCCCAAGGGACATAAAAACAATAACTTGAGGCAAATTTGCAGTTGACTCACTCGTACTTCATTATCTGTGTGTTATAATATGCATAGAAATTTGAAATTTGTTATCAATCTGTATGGTGCGAGACAGGTTTCTATTTGTTTCTTTTGTTTAGTTGCTTTTCATTTCATTATTCATTACATCAATTTCCACAATTCAAGATCTACATGTAAGTTTTAATTTCATGAAGAAAATGGGATTTTCATACTTGAAATATAACCATTCAGAATTTCCTCAGTTAGAACTATCCATGAATTAAGTAACCATGCTTTCTCATTTAGGAAAATGTTACTTTTTACTGTCGAAAAATATCTTTTAATTTCCTCAGAGCCACTCTATTGTGATAAAAAAATGAACAATAATTTTTTCATGGACATGATTTTCCCTTTTCATTTTATTTTCCCACTCAATAAAAACAAAGTATCCTCTTCTGTGAATTCACATAGATTGTAGTTCTGTGTGTATACAGAATAGCAAGGTATCTACATGTATTCTTGAAAGTACTTGAGTTGCAAAGAGATTAGTAACATTATCTCATATTTCCTGTCGATCAAATTATAACCGCACTCTTTCTAAGAATTTGTGTTGGCAGTTCCAGAGGGAATATTCACTTCACAGATCTGTTGTAGAAGAATATTTGAAAATCACTTGAACATTCAGCCACTATGAAATAAAATTATTTTTGTTTGTAGTTTTTTTTTTTTAGTGCACAACCTAATTATTAGAGTAGTCAGATCTCTAGCGTAGAATAAATGACAAAATTATCTTGAATGCTCAATAAATTTACTTTAAATCCTTTTAGACATCTTATTATCTCATTAATCTTTGTCCTTTTATATTCCTATTTCTTTATTCTCCCTCTTTGCTCTTCCTCTTCCTCTTCACTCTTCCTCTTCCTCTTCACTTCACCTCTTCATTTCACCATTTCTTTTATGTTGAATTAATTCAAAGTTATTACTTCTTTGTTTATACTTGTATTTGTACATGAATCTATGCAAATTCCAAAGTACTATAGTTTGGACTTTCACAAGCTTGGCTTCATAGGGAGCTACATGGAGTTTGTTCATTCATTTTTTTTCTTCAAGATTTTGCGTGTTTCATATTTTACAAAGGTGAATCTTTCTTCTATCATTGAAATATAAGTCGTGATAAATCAATTTTGATTTTGGTCTTGATAAATGTATTTTGTATTTCATATCTTCATGTTGATATTCATTATTGTGTGCTTTCACTGCTTTTATTTCCTAAAAACTGTCAAAATGTAAATTGTTAATTTTGTCTTTCTTCGACAGGCCATATTTCTAATAGTGATGTATAGTGAAGCATTGGTAGTGATAGTAAGACAGCAGTCCCACTTCAGAGTGACCAGAGCGTTGAGACCAATCTTTCTCATTGACTGCCACTACTGCGGAGGAGTGAGGAGGTGAGAAATACTTCCTGAATTTGGTTTTAGTTTTCATTGCATCCACTTAATTTTAAGTTCAGTTTTCATTGTATCCACTCGATTTTAAGTTTATTTTACATTGTATCCACTCAATTTTAAGTTCAGTTTTCATTGTATCCACTCGATTTTAAGTTTATTTTACATTATATCCACTCAATTTTAAGTTTAGTTTTCATTGTATCCACTCAAATTTAAGTTTAGTTTTCATGTATTAAACATATACCAAGATGTGCTTAAGATTTGATTGCAAGTCAATTTGAATTGATGATTACAAATAGTTTTGATTCTTTGATTTAATTCATTTTGTCTCTATATGTCTACGCTGTGCAGGTAAATAGCATCACGTGTTTGCCTAAAGGCCTGTTCAGCTTTGACATAGAAAACTGCTATGGAAAATGAAAACCATTTCCAATTGTTAGATGAATGGCAAGATATACTGCTGTGGGGTAGCAAAGAGTTTAGGCATGAAAGATGATCATTTAGTTTACATTTTTTACAAGTCATTCGTTTTCCTCCCTCAATATTCTCCATTTTCCCCTTGTCTTTTGATTGTAATATGCAGTAGAGTACAAATAATCAATCAAATGGGATAATTGTGCCATGTAATTCTTTTCAGGAAAGTCTAAGCATTTTCTTGATGTACTTTTGTTCTTTTACCCTTTGTTTCTCTTGCCCCACAGAGTGCTACGTCAAATCATCCAGTCACTGCCTCCCATCATTGAGATGTTGTTCCTTCTAGCTTACTTCATGCTCATCTTCTCAATATTAGGTATGTTGTACTAGATTCCAGGGGGGTGTTTCACAAAGACTAAGATCAACTTTAAGTTGGACTTAACTATGGCAGGCCATTCATGCCACTGTTGCTCTCAACATTATGATCTTTAGATATTTTTTCCTTCAATAATGAATTATAACAAAAATAGGAATTCTGTAGATTTGAGACCATGATTTGAATGTTCCTTGAGAGACCAATGCCAGTAAATGGTGAGAGCAAACAGTGGCATGAATGGCCTGCCATAGTTAAGTCCAACTTAAAGTCGATGCGTAACTACCCCAAAGAAAACTGCTCGTAAATGATTCACCCCTTATTATTGGTTGTCTGAGGATAATTTGGGTAATTCTTAGGAATCTGTCCAAAATACTGCAAATTGTTCTTATGTATCTTCTGGTGAAGGGTGACCTTCGTTCCAATGTGGTTCTTGACAAAATCATTTGATTTATGAGCATTCCAGGATATCCTCAGCATCCTCCTCCAACACCACATTTCGAAAGCGTGGATTTTCTTTCTTTCTATCTACATGTGTGTGCAGCTTCTGTTCATTAAAGTACCTCTCATTAACTGTCTGATGCTATTTTTAAAATGTACATGTATATAAGGGGTACCTCTATGTGTGTAGGTGTGTGGGGGGGGGGGGGGATGGGTATTTGTCTTCGTGATCATAGCTTTGGGAGCGAAGGGATGGAGAGGGGGGGGGGGTTGTCATGATCTGGTGATTCATTAACTTACGTACGTGAGATTGAGGGTCCAAATTCCAGACTGACACTTACAGTATGACCGTCCATTTGGCATGAATGAGCACCTGGAAGGCTTGAGTGCTATATATTGAGTGATTTCAAGTTGGGTGTTAGTGTTAGTGTTAGTGTTAAGAGCAGTCAAGAGCTCTTAAATCGAGCGAAAAATTTGCCGATGAAATTAAGAGCCCGATACCGATATCAAAATCGATAGCTTAACACCAGCTGTGACGTCACCACATGCTTGATTTCACGACGATGATTTAAAAATAGTACATAAAAACTAAAGATATCATGAAAAGTACAGAATAAATATAGACCTATTTCTCAGGTCTTATAAAATAACTCATTTTACACAAAAGAATACATGAATTACCTGTTTCACATATTTTTATTTGATCGTCAGACAATAAATTGGCGTCGTTCATGCGATGACTGTTGTGCGGTACAACACTAACACCGAACTGGAAATCAACATTGCTTAATCCCTAGGGGCTAGTGTCAGTGAATAGGACATTTGTACGTAAAATATTAACACCAGCCACAAAGGTCGGTTCAGCAGACGACAATTTTGCAAAATCGATAACACTAGCTACCGGAAGTTGACGATATTCAGAGGTCAAAGCCTTAACACCAGCTGATTTCCATTTCGGTGTTTAGGCTGGTGTTAGTGTTTATTAAACACTAACACCAGCCTTAAACACCCAACTTGAAATCACTCATTGGCTAGAACCAGGGTAATAATACTTGAGCGCCAAGAGCATCACAGAGTTACAGACAAAATTCCATTTTGAGAAGTCATTCATATATACAGTCAAACCTGTCTACAGCGACCACCCAAGGGAAACACAAAAAGTGGCCTTTGTAGACAGGTGGTGTTTGTAGACAGGTTACTTTAGTACATGATTCAATGAGAAACCATTTTGAAGGGAAACAACAAATGTGGTCTTTGTAGACAGGTGGTCTTTCTAGACAGGTGGTCTTTGTAGACAGGTGGTCACTAATTTAGGTTTGACTATATTATTATGAAACTAGTTCAACATCTACTAAAGATCAAATAAGCTTGTTTGTTTGAAAATAATAATCTGCATTTATGCAGTGGTTGATGTGCACCATATCCACTCCCTGGGGAGTATTCCTACCATATGGTCACTGTGAGGGCATATGGTAATTACTATCACAAAGGTTTTTATCTTTATTGTCATTACTTTTCATTAGAGATGTTATTTTTTCATTCTTTACTCCTAGGTTTCTACATATTTGTCAATGTTGAGGATGACATTTATTTCCAAACACTGCAGGATAGCTTCGTAAATCTCTTTGTACTCATGACTACTGCTAAGTGAGTATTAACTTTATTTCTTACTTTTCATTAAAATATATAAAAGCTGAAAGATAATTTTTGTCAATATCATATAGACATATGTATTTTGTTTACATTCTCCAAAAAAAAATTCTTTAAAAAGTTTTTTATTTTTAAAGTGCATCTATGATAATCAGAGGGTTCATTGTTAATAATCCTCTTGGTTATTGAGAGTAATGAATCTTTGAATTAATGACTCATTGGTGTGCATCATACCATATTAAAATCATTTTGGTAAATGCCCTCAAGCAAGTTACCCTTAAAGATAAACTTGAGTTCTGGTTAAAAAAAGAAAAAGAATTCAAACAGAATCAAACGAAACTTACACTGAATGTTCAAGATTACAAATAAATGTCATGTGCCGAACAATTTTGGAAGAAAATGTTTATTGGCTAAGTAATGAGCATAGAAAGTTAAGAAAATCAGGTATTACTAGCCCCGACACCATTTGTGTAGTCCCATATACATCTTTCTGTGTACAGTGCTTGTTACTTTACCAAGGCTGGGCCAAATTTATTATGATTTTGATGACTCCAGAACCTTGCAGTGCACACCAATACTTACATGCTACATGATCAACTTTTTCTGATCCATTCCACACCTTTTCTTTCACAATGCAATCGCATTACCAGAACTCACCTTTATCTTTAATACAAAGTTGCATAAAATGTTGTGATTCTTTTTTTTTACTCATCAGAATTTTAATTTGAGTTATCAGCTACTTCAGAGAGACGTGCATTTTTAACGGTTCATAAGAAGAAGAACTGATGAATAAAAAATAAAATTCTTATCTTACTGAAAGTGCAATATTCAGTAACTTTGAATTCTCTTTGCCCTCTCATTTTCTGTGATTGTTTTCCTCAGTTTTCCAGATGTAATGATGCCTGCCTATAATCACAATCCATGGTCTGCAATCTTCTTCATTGTCTTTCTCGTTCTAGAACTCTTTTTCTTAATCAATCTGGTAAGTTTGAAATTTTCTTTTCAATAGGCCATTTTTGTAATGTAATCAAATTTAATGTATTTTAATATGTTTTGTTAGGAAGGGCCAGCCATAATCTTTGTTCTACCTAGCAACAACTAATGCATGCAATTTTCATTCTGACCATTGAAATGCATTTATTCATAACCGGTGAATGAAATAATTTGTAATGAGCAACTTAACAAAGATTTATTCATTAAATTTTATTACATTACGAAACTGGCCTATTGCAGTACTAGATGTGTCATAGTCGAGTGCTTAACAAAAAATAGGTGGAGATGCAAAGGACATGGGGTTGAGCACTCGGCGCAACAGAAGTGTGCTTTGGCAAGACATTAATCTACATTTGCCACTCTCCACCCTGAGGTTAAATGGTTACGGGAAGGAAGGAATTACTTGAATGTTGTGGGCACGAAATCGGTAGCATACTAGTAATGTACATCTAGGTCCGGGATAATATTGAGCACCTTGAGCCCCATGCATAGTGGGTACAAACGCTCTAATTATCCAGTATTATGATCATTATTATTAACATTCTTGTAATGATGGTTGATTTATGAACAAATTTTGTTAAAATTTGCAGAGAACAGCATGATGTAATATGAAGACTATGGAACTACAGACTTTTGTCTTGCCTGCTGTTGGTGGTACATGTACATGTAATTATATTTAGGATGGTTTTAGATGTCTTTCAAGGAATTTCTATATCCATGGTAGTTATTTAAAACTGAAGTCTTATCCCAGGTTGATCGTAAACTGAGTAACTCAGATCTTTTTTTGTCAATAAAATTCAAGCCATCAGCTATCAACGGACTCAAATTGGATGAGACTCAATTGGGTAGTTGCCATATTGTGATTTTTTTTCAAGGATCAAATTAGAACAGTCTGTTTCAAAATTTCCAAAGGGTACATGTACTGAAGTGACTTAACCTGTTGATTAAGAGTTCATTATTACACACATTTGTATATATCCCTGCCCGAGACATTTTGGGGGCCTCCCACGTCAATAAGAGTTAGATCGCATGGCAGTAAGTATCATGGGATGCTTTCTGTCAAATCGTTTTCCTCTTGCACCTAAATATGGAATCAAAATAGGGTGGGAGATAGCGAAAACAGAAGATTTGATAAAAGTAGAGTCAGATAGTCCATGCTCATCCTAGGACATTCACTTTAGTCATATTGTCAGTTCCAATTGAGCAGTTACCTTATCATTTGTCTTAGATATAAAAATGGTCGTAAAAGTCGTCTGCTTCAAATGTGAGCTTAAATTCTTTATAGTGGTGTCACATGATGATGGGTATGATTAAATGTCGAAAAAGAATTTTCCATTTTACTCCTTGGCTTTAATTGATACGAGCTAGGTGGAAGACAAATTTATGAAATGGAAGGAAGATGCGAAGGGAGGAAGATGCGCAAGGGTCCATCTGGCGTGGACTGTCATTTTAGTCATGTTGTCGGTTTCGATTGTCTGGGATAAGAATGCAGGGAAGGAGTACACAAATTGGATAGGTCTGCCTCAAAATTATTCCAGCATTACCCTCCGGTTATTCTTGGGCAAGCTCCCTGCCAACAATGAACGATGACAAATTGGTTGTATCCTACGGGATGCAGAGCTGTTCTCGTACAGTACTCCAGGTTCTTTAGGAGGTAGGCTTGCGAACTAGACCAGTTTGGTGAATTCAGTTTGGACATAGATGCACCAGTTCCCGTTTGTCTTTGGTGTCAACAAGTCTACAAACAGGGTCATCCCCGTAGACTGAAAGCCCATGAGACCGACAGAGAAATGCATAAGAAAATATGAGAAAGAATAAAGTTGTAACAGGTAAATGAGACCGACAAAACAAAGTAGAGAATAGGGTAAGAAATATATATGTTGGTCTTGTGGACTGTCAGTATTGTGGACCGTCGTTCTAGTGAACCTTTCTGAAAATGGCAAGAAAGCCCAATCGAGTGACCTTGTTGGTCTCTTGGGCTGTTCATCTAGTGGGCTGTCGATTTCATGAAACGTTGACCTCGTAGGCTGTTGGTCTTGTTAGCTGTCGGTCTCTTGGGCTGTACCCATTAACAAAAAATTGTAACAAACAATTATTATTGCCTTTTCAAAAGTAATATAATAACAATAACGGTCAGTTTTTATATAGCGCTTATTACAATCACTAAGGGCTTCCAAACTTGGAGATTATTACTCCGGCTTTAGCTGTGCTGTCATTACGTCGCTCTAGCATTTCAAAGAATTAATTCCTGCCAGGTACCCATTTACATCACCTGGGTTGAGTGTGGCAAATGTAGATCTAAGTCTTGCCAAGGGACATTAGTGCCGCCGCGGGTCTTGAACCGCGGACCTTGTAATCGACAGTCCAGCGACATAACTACTCGACCATGGCACCTCTATCACCTCAGTGATCAATAACAACAAAAATTTGTGAATCAACAGGAATCAATAATTGAAACTTGTCTGCAAGCAAGGACTACCAGGTAGTCTGGAAAAAGGAGGAGGGGGGCAGGGCAGGGGGGCTGGGTTGTATACACAAGGGTATTGGGAAAGGGGCTGTCTAAATCAATTAAGGATGATTGTTTTATTGGTATTATTGTAACAGGAAATGCACTGCAGAAGTACAATATTTCTCGCATCTGGTTGCAGAAGCACCGATTTCCCCTCGTATCCACAGAGAGTTTCATTGTAGATGTCATGCACTTCATTTTGACATTTGATATCATGAATTAAACATCGAATTAGATTCACCTGTAATTTCTCTTCTATCCTCCAGCTAATTGTCTTCTTTTATTTAGACAATGAAAGGCGAAGAGTGATAGAGAGCACAGACAGACAGACAGACAGACAGACAGGGAGGGAAGGGCGGGGAATGAGTGTGACATTGACTTGCATACATGTCACCACAGACAGTTTGAAAATTGAGTAGTTCTGTAGAGAAGTCATTGCCCTGTAGTACAAAGTATAGTTACCTGTACTCTGATCGATGCACATTTTATTTACAAATTTTTCATGAAAATATACGGACATATACAATATTACCAATACTGTGAGTTTGTGACAGCGGTTTTCAAATCTTCATTACTACTTTAGGAGAGAGAGAAAGAGAGAAAGAAAGGGACAAAAAGAAACTGACAGACAGACAGACTAATTGAGAAAGGGAGGGAGACATTAAGGCCCACTCTTTAAAAGAGTTGAAATATATTGTTTTCAAGCACATTAAGCAGTCAAACATTAAGCAGTCAAACCTGTATATAAAGACCATCCAAGGGAGCCAAGAAAAGTGGTCTTAATAGGCAGGTGGTCTTAATAGGCAGGTGGCCTTTATGGCAGGTTTCCTTTAGCGCATGTTGTAATGAGAAACCATTTTCAAGGGAAACAAAAAATGTGGTCTTTGTAGACAAGTGGTCACTAAAGCAGGTTTGACTGTAATTGTAATTTATAGCTTTGCTATGAGTTCCTTGACTAAAAATTTATTCCAAATGTTTATGATATTAAAGGTAAAGACCAGTATTGGAAACGCCCCAATTTCAAAAAAATAAAATGGAAGCTCTTATTACCAATCATGTGAAAGAATATGTTTTGAATATTACATGATGATAAAAATTTTGACGGGAAACCGCCTACTAATTGATACATGTATATTTGGTAAATTAGTGTATCTCTTGCCTGTTGAGAGATATGAAATGTACGTGTCGTGCACGTGTGTGTAGTCCCATATACATCTTTCTTTGTACAGTGCTTCTAACTTTATGAAAACTTGGCCAAATTTCTTATCATACCATAACTGGTCTTTAGCTTTAAGATTAGAAAAGCGGGTTAATAAGTGCCCCCATTTCATCTCAAGCTGTTATTAATCAATAAATGCATTCCAATGGTGTAGTTTACGTCCTGCGATGACAGGTTTTGAAATCTACTTGTATGCTGGTATTTCCTGGCCAAAGACTTGCTAGTAGATACCATCCTGTAATTTACAATAACACTATGCTGGTTATGTGTGTAGATTTGTGTCATTGAAGTCACCTTGATGTGTGATGAGGGTGACTGGAGATGTGCAGTGAAGATTTAAATGAACACTGCACATGATATGCAAATTTATGTAAGACAAAAGGACCCAGAGACATTTTACACATACCCAATGAAGAAAATTGATTGAGTGTGTTTATATGAAAGTTACTACAGTACAGGTACGTGTAGTAGAGATTTTAAAAGACCATTGCACATTCATGCAAATAAATGTGCTTACCTACTTGTCCCAGGTGATAAGGGGATAGACGTGGGTGGGGCTTGTCACTGGTGTAGGACTAATGGTAACAATATCTGTGGGGAGTGAGATGGTCCATCTACATGTAACAGCATAACAGTTGTAACTTTTATGAGCGGGAGGGGAAGAGGGATGGGGAGATGATGAACAAAGAAGGAGGAGGGAGGGGGAAGGGGGAGGTCATCGTAATCAACTGAAATGGGGGTAGACATGGATGGGGCTCGTCCCAGGTGTAGGACTAACAGTAGCAATATATGTGGAGAGTGAGATGGTCCATCTTCATGTAACAGCACACCAGTTGTAACTTTCATGAGGTGGAGGGGGAAGGGGGATAGGGAGACAATGTACGAAGTGGGGGGAGAGAGGGGGAAGGGGGAAGGATGAGGAGGTCATCATAGTCAACTGTGCTACCTGTACCAGGTGAAATTGGGGAGGACATGAGTGGGGCTTGCACTTGGGTAGGACTATGTATGGAGAGTGAGATGTCCACCTCATGTAACATCATACCAGTAACCAGTAACTTTCATGAGAGAGAAGGGGGATAGGATGAAGGAGGGGAAGGGGAAGGGGTGGAGGTCATCGTAATCAACTGTGCTACCTGTACTGGGTAAAATGGGGGGGGGGGGGGCTTGGTACTAGGGTAGAACTAAAAAAATCAACATGTTTGGAGAGTTAGAAGGTCCACCTACATGTAACAGCATATCAGTTATAACTTTCATGAGAGGGAGGGGAGGGGGAAGGGGGAGGAGGTCATCGTAATCAACTGTGCTACCTGTACTGGATGAAATGAGGGAGGACATGGGCGGGGCTTGCACTTCGGTAGGACTAACACAACCAGTGTGTGTGTGGAGTGACACTGTCTGTCCTGCAGGTGCTCAAGGAAGTACCACTCCCTTAGGGACAAAAACTCTGACTCACATTCTTTCATTTGTCAAAGGGATTATGAGTCATTTTATAGCCCATTCAGACTATAAGAAACTCGTATACAGAAACGTCCTCCAAAGAAAAAATCAGTGAACAGCGATTGAATGGGGACGTACAACCTAGACAACAAAATTGTATAAAGAAGACTAGTTTTGAACAGAACAATTGACTAGCCAATGCACTCACAATAAGCCTGCCCAGTTGTATGATATTCGTACAATTTGACATTCAAACTAGAATGTGACAATCGTTCTGTATGGAGTTTTTGTTTGAAACAATGCTCAAACATGCGTTTCACTACATGACGTTCGGCTATATGATGTTCTTTAAAAGACTTCAGACGAAAAAAAGTATAATTACTTCAATTATACAATGAATTTTGATATTCTGAATGCAGGCTAACTCTCCTTGGTTCTAGGTTTCTTCATCTTTAGAAATGCTTGTTAAACTTTTTTGTCACTTGTCAGGTGACCTTTTGTTGACTCTGTCAGTTACAAGATGTGTTTCCTTGATGTGGTGTACAATATCTCCACTGGGAGAATGAGTACATATTCAGATAAATTGTCCTTGTGGTATTTGTCCATTCCTCCTCTTCCTCCCCCCTCTCCCTTCCTCCTTTTCTCCATTTCCTTCTCATTGTCTTCTTCTTCTCCCCCTTCTTTTTCTCCCCTCCTCCTGTTCTCCATTTCCTTCTCTTCCTTCTCTTCCTCCTTCTTCTTCTCCTTCTTTTTCTCCTTCTCCTTCTTCTTTTCCTTCTTCTCCTTCTTCTCCTTCTTCTCCTTCTTCTTTTCTTCTCCTTCTTCTTTTCTTCTCCTTCTTCTTCTCCTTCTTTTTCCTTCTTCTTCTACTTCTTCTTCATCTTGATGATCCTATTGATTAGAAATCAAATCTATCATAATCCAGGTTTTATCTCTTTTCCAACTTCTATCTTAAATTGTTCAGAGGAAAGAAACAATTTTCTTTAAAAAATATTATGTGTGACAATTTAAATTGATTTACAATTCAATTAAAGTCATAACCAAATCTTCTCTTTTGAATCTCATCTACATGTAGCTCCTGGCTGTAGTGTATGATACCTTCACTGGTATTGAGAAGAAGAAATTCAAGAAACTCACACTACACATGCGGATAGCTACCAGCAAAGCTTTCAGATTATTGTGCAGTAGACGGGTAAGAATGTATTTCAATTTCATCTTTTAAAATTATTTTGAAAAGTAATATGTGAAATGGAGCTTATCGTGGCATGGCCAAAGTTGCATAGCATCTTATGCATATTCTGGCACCTCTTCTGCATTTGTATGCACAAGAATGTAGTAACTGTTCCACTCACAAACTGTCAATGTGAGGCAGCTACCATATATGGCTTGTTCATGAATATTTATAAGGATACAATGGGTCATTGACCTCTGCTTTGATATATAGAATCCCTATAACGCAGGTTTGACAAATTAAGTATCTCAAGGTTTTGTTTTCACGATACTCAAAAACAATATGCATGATTTTGAATTCAGCTTTCCTGATGATTACTACATGCCTTAAACCTTTTTCTTCTGATAAAAGTCTTTGTCACTTAACAGGAAAACTCTTGTTCATCTTTTCTAAGAATTGTACAATGATTTCATTCCTGAAGCTGTGAGATTACGAAACTTGGTATAAATATGTAAATTTGTAAACACTTCTTGTATACTTTTAATTTTCCTGGAATTGTATTCGTAAGACCGGTGACTTTATGTATGTGAGTATGAATCACCCAAAAATGTAGGTCTAAAATTTCTTCAGCAGTTGATTTGTATCATATTTCAAACTTTAGAAAGAAACAGAAGTAGATTTTGTTTTGATGTATCCTGGAAAGAGATCAAATTTTCACATGTAAATATTCTTTTCAAACCAGTTTCCCAATACTTAAAAGTGTACATGAAAGTGGTATAAAGATACAGTCAAACCTGCTTTAGCGACCACCTGTATAGAATAACCACTAGGCCTGAGTCGAAACGGGTCCCCGCCCGGGCCCCGACCGTCGAGCTGAAACCCGGCTTTTGGTTTTCGGGTTTCGGGTTTTTCAAAATTAAATTTCACACTGATATTTTGAAATATAGAACTAAAAATATGGAATTCACAAACTTATATTTCAATATAATCAAATAAATATGCTTTAGAAATAAATGGATATTGTTTCAGTTGACGGTAGGTGTTTTTATAGCTCTAAAATTGAGGCTGCAAGAAAGGAATCACGCTTCGTGGTACCGATCGAGTGCGTTCAGAAACGGAAGTGGAAATAGATCTATGACCCACTGAAGACAGAGCAAGAAAATGCCACACACAAGACTAAAATGTTGATCAGACTATCGCAATTAAATCGTAATACTAAAGGCATTAATTTAATTGTCAAAATATATCCACAACATAATGGTTTATCCTTGATAGTTTGATGAAGGAAAATAAATTAGAGCTCTTGAAATAACATCGAAGTGCCTTTCGTTCGTTCTAAAAATGCGTGTATAACGGCAAGCAGAAGTTACGAGTCAAGCTTGATATGCACGTTTAAATCCCTACACCGTCATCCGACCTGATCGGAACAAAAAGCATTAAACCAATTAAAAAACATCACGTAAGACTTTAAGGGACTCCAATTCAACAAAATTACCGTAAAATAATTATTTGCTTTGACAAATAATACTATAGATATTCATAATATCTTACAGAAATAATGATATTTCATGAGCTACGTACTCGATATCGAGTTCAGCTAGCCATCATTTTGACATGAGACGTAGTTGTCATGCATGCAGCGCAGAATGCGGCAGCTCGCAGCTAAAGGGGGAAAAAAAATCACGTAATAGTCACGTGAATATCACGTGATCATACTGCCCTCTACAGTCTACTGCATGACAACTACGTCTCATTTCAAAATGATGGCTAGCTGAACTCGATATCGAGTACGTAGCTCATGAAATATCATTATTTCTGTAAGATATTATGAATATCTATAGTATTATTTGTCAAAGCAAATAATTATTTTACGGTAATTTTGTTGAATTGGAGTCCCTTAAAGTCTTCCGTGATGTTTTTTAATTGGTTTAATGCTTATTGTTCCGATCAGGTCGGATGACGGTATAGGGATGTAAACGTGCATATCAAGCTTGACTCGTAACTTCTGCTTGCCGTTATACACGCATTTTTAGAACGAACGAAAGGCACTTCGATGTTATTTCAAGAGCTTTAATTTATTTTCCTTCATCAAACTATCAAGGGTAAACCATTATGTTGTGGATATATTTTGACAATTAAATTAATGCCTTTAGTATTACGATTTAATTGCAATAGTCTGATCAACATTTTAGTCTTGTGTGTGGCATTTTCTTGCTCTGTCTTCAGTGGGCCATAGATCTATTTCCACTTCCGTTTCTGAACGCACCCGATCGGTACCACGAAGCGTGATTCCTTTCTTGCAGCCTCAATTTTAGAGCTATAAAAACACCTACCGTCAACTGAAACGATATCCATTTATTTTTAAAGCATCTTAATTTAATTCCATTGATTATTTTATTGTTTTGAAAGCAGTAACTGTCTTTTCCGTCGCATTATTAGAACAGCAACTTAGTCTAACTCCCGCCGCTGCATGCACACGATTTTTAGTGCCAGTGCAGTAGTGAAAATTTCGGGTACCCGGTCCCCGCCCGAAATTTTCAAGTCAAACCCGGGTTCGGCAAAACCCGTGATGACTCAGGCCTAATAACCACCTGTCTGCAGAGACCACATTTTTTCCCCCCTGAAAATGATTTCTCATTAATACATGTACTTAGGGAACCTGTACAAGAGCACCTGCCTATAAAGACAACTTTTCTTGTCTCCCTATTATGGTCTTTATAGACAGGTTTCACTGTAGTAGGGTCTCTCTCTTCAATTTCTTTCCCCTTCCCTTTTGCTACTGGGCAGTAATTTATCCATTTATTTCATCCAAGAGTGAGATACAGTCTCTTGATGTGTTTAAAAATAGCAGGATACTGGAAAGAACCATTAGTAATGATATACGGTCTTATCAAGTTTTTATAATTTTTGGATGAAAGTAAATGGATAAATATCATATGGGGTAGATAACACTGAGTCACCCTTCTGATGAGAGCTATCTAGTTCATTAATGACAAATTATCTTGCTTTTGTCATTCACACCCAATACTTACCAATCTAAACTGTTCATTGCGAAACCCTACCTCTAAGAAGTTACTAACCATATTATTAAACCAAGATGAGATTGCTAATATGACATTAAGCAATCAATAGTACTGACGAAGGGGGGCAGGCAATCTCTCTGCATTCCAGCCTTGGTAAAGCACATGTCCTCCTATGTACATCGTCAGATGTAATTGCATTAAGACGAGGCCCTCTCTTGTTACCTTTATCTCATTTCCTAAGTTTAGCTCATCCTAGCTCTCATCCTGTGTAGACTGAGGCAGATCTCGGTAGAGTGATGGGTAAAGACTCTCTCTCGGGGAATCATTACGTGATGTGGAAGAGTGCTGATTCGGCTAATTTAAAATTATCATGCTCCAAACGTTTTTTGGTGTTTTTGCTTTTAAACTGCTAATTTTCACAAATTTCCATTTCTGGAGTTCTGTCTCTTTCAGCCTGCAATGCTATATAATTTTAAAGCAGGGCCCCATCTTACAAAGATTGGTCTAAATCAATTGCAAGTCCTTCAATCAATCGCAAGTTCGCAGTCTCCTATCTCTTATGTACATACATGTAGTTGCCATTGATGTCAATCGCAAATAAGTTGCAATTGATATCAACTCTGTGTAAGACGGGGCCCAGGTCTAGAGTTATTATTAGAGAAAGGGAGCAAAAACAGGTTGCTGGAGCTAGCAGATATGGGGTTTCTAACCCAGGTCATTGCACTTATCACATTGTCAACCTCACTTTCACACACAAATCTTTGGTAGTGGAATTGAATTGCATGGAATTCAAAGGCAATTTCAGAGGGAAATAATGAATATTTAGTGTTTAAAGAGAGAAAACAAATCTCGATTTTTGAACAATTTGTCCAAGCGAGTACTTCCAGAATTCATATACTTTCACATTCTGGAACAATCACCAAAAGACGGAAGTTAGTTGACGCGCTATAGATCCTGCGTTAATCTCCATTCCTTCATCAAATCGATCCACTGATACACCAGCACAATGATACGCTGCCGACAGCGGCTCTCAAAACTCTGATGACAGAAATTGGGAAGAAGGGATAGGAGAGGGAAGAGTGGATGAGAAAGTGTAATCATCGAGCATTTGTCTCTCATACAACCCACTGACATATCTCACTCGACATAGGCCATTAAGCGCATAATCCCACGATACATTCTCCCCTGCACTTGAGGTTTTAATACCTGTGAATCTATACAGGTGTGATCCAAGTTGTTATGTGTGTGGCAGAAGGACCAGAACACAATTTTAAAGTCATATTTACTCAACTGTTTTTTTTTTATTGCTAGAGTAATGAATTACATCACCATTCACAATCTAGATGATGAACTTGTACTTTTATGGGCCTCATGTGTTGCAAAATTGATTCAAATTGATCATAACATTAAATCATTAGCAAACGCTACACTTATGGGCTAGAAGATTGCAAGTTTGCACTTCATTGGAGGACTTTTAATCAATCCAAATCAATTGCAACTCGTTATAAGATTAGAGCATGGACTAAAATGTCTTGTTAAAATAGTTTGTTTTTTTTTAATTAAAAAAATGTTGTTGTTTTTTCTCAAAAAGTACATCCTTTGTAGAAGCATCCACTTGCACCCTTCTGCAGGGCACATGACATAGTGTATAATGCACCATTACTTCCCCATTAGCAGGAGATCATCACTGTCTAAACAGATGAGCATTAGCAAGTGGAAATTGATTCTTCATTTGCTTGGGCTTTTTACCTGTCTGAACAGCCATAATATTTGCTGAAAAGTAATCCCTTCATTGGCTAGAGGTCTTCCTCAGTCTAAACATGCATGCACGGATGTAAGGCTGCCTAAGTGTAGTCCAATGGACATTGTATGACATGTATATGTCCTAAGACACACAGCGGTGGAATGGTTTAAAAAGTTTAAATGTAAAGGTTATACTCGCCTCTACAGAGTCACCAAGATAAGTACTGTACAAATTGAGTATCAACAGTGTTAAAAACTATTTTAAAAGCAAAAATGACATACTATTTGCCTTTAATTTACATGCATGTTTGTAACAGAAAAAATGTACACATGTTGCATTCTGACGGATGCTTCATGTGAGGTCATGTGACAGAAATTCTTATAAGAAACAATACATTAGAAATCCAAATGTTGTAATCTTTGCCTCTCTTTAACCAATTGCCTACCTGAACTGGGTTGATTATGTATTAAGCCTATGGAATTTAGAGAATTTATTAGTCATTGGGGTTAACTGCATATATTTCTTACCATTTGTCTTTCTTTCTTTTTCACTCCAGCATCCAGGTAAAGCGACCTTTGCTCACTTTGAAGGGCTACTCAAGTACTATGCTCCAAATAAGAGCAAGAGAGATGTTCTGCTCACTTTCAAGTCTCTGAACACTAGTGGATCAGGCAAGCTGGATCTACAGGTACAACCATATGGGAATACTTTCAAATGACTTTCAAATATTTCTAGTGAATTACCTGTCATGAATTCACCAACCAAGTGTGTTTGACAATTTAAGGCAAAATGCATGGTATTAACTGAAGTATTTCTTTCAGTCACTCATACAATATGGTTTTTAGAACCTACCAGACAGAGAGTTTGTAAACAGTAGAAAAACATTGGTATATATGTTTGTAGAAGACAATAATTTCTTTATTTCAAGATAACTTTTGGATGAAGTGCATGTAGGATTACAATAATCCAATACACCTCATGGTTATGTGTGCTCTCTGATTTTCTAACCATTTCACAGGAATTTCATAACATCTTTGAAGTGTCGAGGTTGAAATGGAAGTCCCAGCGAGAGGAGAGGCTGTGGTTCGAGTCACTACTCAGTCCCCTAGACAAGCTCTTCAGACTACTACACAAGATGGTCTCATCAAGGATATTTGAAGGAATTGTTTGTAAGTCATTTTTTTCTTTTTTCCCCCATCTTTTATTAATTGAATAATACATACATAAGAAACACATAATTATATGGATTACATAGAAAAACGCATGAATCATACTTATATCACAACATTAATTATACTTTTTCAAAAAACACATAATCAACATTTTTTTTTAAAGTCATTTATAAATTCTCTCAATCATCAGCTTTGGATTTACCTTGTCATCATCAATATTTTTCTACAACTCTTTTCAACCCCTCCCCCCCCCCCCCCACCTTTTTTTTTTTGGTAGGGGGCTATTTCTTCTTTTGAGTCTTTTCTTTTTATGATATGTTGGTTGTTTATTTTGTTGTTTATATATATTTTCACTAAATGTATCTGTACTTGTCCCTCTCTGGTATTTTCTTTGGATTACTTTTTTTCTATCTATCATTTCCTCTATCTCTCCCCTTCTCATTCTCTCTTCATTTAACTGTGTATCTCCCTTTTTCTTTTTCTCTCTGATTCTCCCTTTCCCCCGTTCTCAGTATGCATCACAATCTTATTATCAAATGACAATCACACTCTAAATACACTTTTATTTTCTCAAAGAGCTTTTCATCTGAGATTCCTCTCTATTACTCCATCAATCAATATAGAATCTTCCTGTCGTAGATGTATGTGTATACAATCATTTATCTTCTGATTCTCATTTGAAAGTCACCATGAAGGCCATATGCCGTTATTTTGCTATGATGCATGTTCATTCACAAATAATGACTCAGGAGTATGTCAGTAGTGAACGTATTAGGAAGATTTCAGAGATATAGATATATACGGTTGGCTATGCATCATTCATCTATCAATGAAGAGGTATTCCAGTCCTGACAATTTCCTTAATAATCCTCTATCATTTCTGCTCTTTTTTCCATTTAGATTTCTCTTTTCAATATACCCCCAAAATTCACCTACCCTTATCTTTCTGACTTTCCTCTGTTTTAATCTGTCATGTCTCCCTTCCCTCTCATTCTTGATAATTTATTTTCTTTTTCTTATGAATGGTCATTGCTTCAATCATATACAAATACAGCAAGATAGGGCAATAGAGTACAGTTAAATATGTATAGATGACCTAGAAATGGCATACATCATTATCTTGTCAGATGTGATGAAGAAGAGAATTAATATGTATCTTTCTTTTTTTTTAATCATGCAGACATATTTGACATAGAAAACGCTATCTTACAGCTATGTTAGATGTTTTGAGGGATGTTTCTGTTATTTTGCGTATCTTAATGAGTAAGACTTATGACTTCCTATAGGGAATTCAGATATACATGTATATCCTCAAACACTCATGAGTCGGAATATTTGAACAGGGTCAAAACAAAAGGACAATCCACTTTTTCTGTCTAAGCTCTGTAGTTATGAAATGAATGACAGGAGAAGACTTGTCAACAAGTAACCATCAAGTCAAATGCGTAAGCGTGCAAGATCTGTCTGTCTGACGCAGGCAGGTGGCAGCACCACCGAGTACGCTAAAAGAAGAAAATGCCTGCAGCAAAATTAATCGATGGGCAAACAATTCTTCTTTTCGCCCTTTATTCAGAGATTTATATTGTAATATCTTGCTTTTAATTTCCATGTCTCAGCACTTAGCAATGAATGCATGAAGATGAAGGAAGTATAGGAGGAGTAGGCGCTTTATACAAAGAGGCGATCAAAGGAGGGATTTTAGTCGTGTTATTTCTTGCTTTGTGCACTTTGTTGAAAGGTACGAAGGAAGAAAGAGAGGGAGAGGGAATTGATATGAGATGGTGGAAGAGGGGTTGGGCATGGGAGACTTGAGATGGTGATAGATATGAGTGTTTTGAATGTTATTTGGGTAGGGGGGAGAGAGAGACAGTTGTGCAGGTATTGGATGCGGACAATTGTGCGAGTGTGTTTTCATGGCCGTGGTTTGTAAGAGGCGAGTACTCTGATTGGTGTGCCTCACTGTACATGACATATCAGTTCAAGATTTTGGAAGGACTCTGTACCACCATTGTCTGTTCATGGCGTCAAATTTGAGGATGCTATAAAGATTCAGTATTTCTTAGTAGTTTAGAAGGGATACTGATTGAATAATCCCTGTAGTTATTCATTTATTTTGACGGACTGTCTATATTGAATTGAGATGATGAATCATGGCCAAAGTACTGTACCTGCAAAAAAAGGACATAAGCTGATCTGTTTAACAAAGAAACAAAGAAGCAAATAACCGTTTGCTTAGTTTCTCATCCATAGTTAAGCTGAATATTCATGCTGTTGATATATACTTCTGACATTATCAAGAGAGAATAAATGCTGTTTGAGATTAACTACCTACCGCAAGCAATGAATATTCCAGTTATGATGACTGTTTCTGCAAACGTTTTTATCCAATCTGAAAGTACCGGCCATGTGCCCTTTCCTAAAAGAAAACCAGAATACCTTCAAAGCCTGTTTGGCCGGAAGGGATTAGACCTCCCTGCATGGTCACTGACAGGTGGTTATCTCATCAAGCTCTCAACTAACATAAGAAAAAGGGGACCATGGGGGACCAACAGTCACCACTTATGCATTGTTTGCTATATAGAGGGCGCATGTAACTATAAGAAGTGCAGTGGGGCTTTAATTATCAACATCCACAAGAGGGCTGTGCATACAATGTACATCACCCTGCTGGCATTCTTGGAAGTGAGAACGCACCCATGAAGAGTGCATGAGCCGGGCCAGTAAGAACAACATATGGTGGTGTCAGATGCACTCTTGTTCCCTTGGTTCTTTGCCGACCAAGGGGGGAACTATTAAGGTGGCTGGATTGGAATGGTGGATTAACAGACTTCTGTCTTGGCTCTTGTCAAGATCCAATTCACATCATATTCTAAAATGAAGAATCTGAAGGTGATCGGGTAAAATCTGTCAGAAGTATGTAAAGGTCTGGCTTGCTTTGTAACAGTGTCGTGGTCGAGTGGATCATAAGGTCTGCGGTTCGAGTCCCGCCATGGCACTAGTGTCCTTTGGCAAGACATTAATCTACACTTGCCACGCTCCACCCCGGTGAAGTAAATGGGTACCTTGTAGGATTATTCCTTGAAATGCGCTGATAATGTTTAGGGAGATATGAGTTGGTCAGCTCTCTGTCTTTGCCTACAAACTGGCTGATCAGGCTACCAAACTGAGTCATGTTGAAAGGTCGGTCCCCAGATGTAAATAATCATATCTGATTGATAGACCTCTGTAAAAACCCAATTACACACACAACACAATATTAAACATTTTAGAAGCATAAAATTATTTGCCAGATTATACCCTCATATTTCATACTACCTCATCTTAATAGCTTTATTATCTTATGGGTGTGAAGTGGTCCCGGTAAGAGTTGGAATCGGGACCTTAGTGAGGGTGTCAGGGGGGTTAATCTCCCACTTTGGAAGGGTAAACACACTCTACCACTTGTGGTGGTATTGGGGCCAAAAGCTGGGGTAGGGGGTACAAACTTTCACCTCTCGGGTCTGAGGTAAGGTTGAAATTTCAAACGATCCAGGGGAGAAACCCCTGAACCACAGCTGTGCAGATCGCAGGAAACCCTGGTTGTTATTCTGTTCTATTGTTTTATTCTATTTTTGTTTCATTTGTAGAAAAGGGTCATTTTTCAACCCAATGTTGGTCTTATACATGTGTGTTCCTACTATTTTTCTAACTTTGGGTATACACTGTATGTGTCCTTTTTTTTATTTTTTTTAATATTTTGTTTCCATGTATGGGGTAGAGGCAATATTTTACAGACTGTCTCCTGAGTACTAAGGACTTCTGAGGTGTTGCATAAAGCAACATGTTACAAATTGTGGACATGGTTGTTCAGTGGCGGATCCAGGGGGGCCCGGGCCCCCCGGGCCCCCACCCCTGGTGAAAAAAAATGAGTAAAAACATGTTAATTTTACCTCTTTTTTTTAGATGGGCCCCCTCCCCTTGCGCCCAAGGGGAGGGGGTGTGATTTTTCAAATTTTTGAGGTAACAGCTCGATTCGCCCCTGTGGTTGTTAACTGTTTTCTTGTATATGAAGATGAATTGTGAAGAAGAAAGAAATTGAACCTTTCAGACTCGGACTAACTACACACAAATTTTAGGAGAGTATCACATAGGGTGTTTGGAAGAATATGCTGATATGTCTTGACATAAGATATAGCACTGAACTTCTATATTGAGACACCAAGGGTTGGAATCCCAGCATTGCATATATCCAGGAGAGGTAAATTGTGGGAAGAAATTTCATGAATGATTGAACTGTGTGGCTATAAAGGGAGGGTACCAAAAAATAATGAAGCTCATAATACACGGTTGAGTATGTCAACTTACAGTGTATCTAGTATACAGTCATTATCAATCTGAATATCAGTATTAATATTAATTGGGTTGATCGCTACCTGTGGACATGCTTCACAAGACGTGAACATTGCATTTGAAAATGGAGGTTGGTGTGATAGTGTGATACCATCCTGCTGAGATTCTTGCACATGAAGATGAAATGATGACAGCTTGGATGAGAGCAAGATTTACACCGGAGTGGCTGATGACAAGGACTAGATCATGCTTCCATGAGAAGGAAATGATAAATGTTTGCTTGGGATGACAAATTCTAACACTGCAGTATCGAGAACAATGTGTGTATACCGCGTGCCATCTCTAATCGCTTTTTGTACAAATGTATAGATGAATGTATGCGAGTGTTACTTTGATAATTTGTAAGATGCGTGTACGGGTACTGGTATATGTATTGCATTGGTTAGAGAGTGTGGCACAGAAATAGAGAAGATGACAGAAAGAAGGAGAAAGAGTGAGAGAGAGAGAGAAAGAGAGAGAGAGAAAGGGAGGGAGGGGGTAAGAGACAGAGAGAGAAAAAAAGGGGGAGGGGAAGGGGAAGGGAGGGGAAGGGAGATAAAGAACATCAAGAACATCAATGGAGTGCTACATGTGAAAAAAACAACTGAAACGAAAAAAATCAAAGAAAGGAGATGGGAGGAAGAAAAAGAGGAGAAAGAGAAAGGAGACACAAGAAAAGTGGCATAGAAAGAGGGAAGATGACAGAAAGTGAGAGAGAGAGAGAGAGAGAGAGAGAGAGAGATACGAGGGAGGGGTAAGAGAAAAGAAGAACGTTAATGGAGCGCCAGATATGAAAGAAACCATGGGAACAAAAAATATCAAAGAAAGGAAGAGGGAGGGGAAAAAGAGGTGAAAGAGAAAGGGGACACAAAGACGGGTGGCATAGAAAGAGAGAAGAAGGTTATGGAGGGAAAGAGAATGAGAACAAGACAGTTATGGATCAGCACCTACTATGTCATGAGCGCAAAACCAACAGATGGTTGAAACGTGATAGCGATAGCATTCTGAGATACACAAGCTGGGATGACTTTGCATCTTTTAAACATCTTATCGTAGGCTTGACTTCTGCGTTTTTATTTTCAAAGCATGGAGTAGATGCAAACATGTAATACTTGAAGGTTGGGTGTCATAATCACATATCTATTACCGTAAATCTTTGTTTATAATATTTTTTTATTTTTTTATTTTTTTTCATTTTGCCGACTCTGTAGGCAGCAAGTCAGGTCCGTGTTAAAAAACTCACGCGGGGAAGGACCTTTATTTCACTGCGTGGTGCAATTGAAGGCGATAATTTGTGCTTGTGAACTTGTCACTTATACCTGTGTATAAGACGCACACCCGACTTTCGAAAAAAAGCGGAAAAAAGGTGCGTCTCATACACAGAGATTTACGGTAAATGATTGATGAGTGTGGTATTCTTGTAAATGCTTGTCGTCCGGTACATATACATTTATGGAGGATCAAATTACAATGTACGGGTAGCTTTCATATTTTAACTGCATCCATGTATTAGAAAAGAACCGAATTGCATGAAAGAGCAATGCAGCCCTATCTTCCATTACAGTATTCATTTTCTACTTTCAATTCTTTATTCTCCGTATGCAGATACAGTCATCGCAATCAACGGTATTGTCTTCATTATCAAGACCATCATAGCATCAAGTAAGTCAGTCCCCTATTTTCTTCTCTTGATCTTACCATACCACCAAAGTTACAAACACACTATATCTTCCTTAGTTATGAACCTATTTTAAATTTCAAGGATTTATGGGGAGTTTCTGTTGGTCCAACTGCTTTTAGTACCAAAAGGGTTAATCATGCCCACAGATACAGAAGGGGATGGATTTAGTCTGAAGCTGTGTAGACTAGACCTTACTATCCTCCGGTCTACTAAGTTCCAAACTCAAATCAACAAAATCTTGAGATGGTTTTCCTTACGACTTGAAGCTGGGCTAGAATTGTCTTTACACTTGCCAAATGGATATAAAAACAACATTTAAAAGAGCAAAACACATTTCAACACACTGGATGACTCATATTCTTCTTGAAATGTTACATATGCATTTTCCAAATATTTTGCACAATTTTTTGGGGAAAACTGGAACACATGAAAAAAAATTCCAAAATACAAATTATCCACAGTTGGATCCACAGTGATTTGCACATGCTTTTTATTTGTCAATACAAGAAGAAGTTTTGTGTGCCATTCCTGCGATTTATCCTTTCTCCATATACGTGTATTGGAAATGAATGAAAGACGGGCTCTCGATCACGACATGACTCTGTTTTCAAGGAACTAATTCTTTCTCCGCATCTATGCCAAGCAGTGTTTATTGGTGTACAAATCAATAAACAAAACCCTGTACAAAGCCACTATGTCAGCGACGAAGCCTGCACACTATACATCAATCATTGAGTATTCCTCCCCTATAAATGTCACATTAGGCCTGTCTTCACTAGCTCCAGATTGCAAACTATCTTGCTATTTGAACTATCCCGATCGCAAAATTTCCAGCTAATTTGTGTCTTCATCAGCCCGAAGTTGCAATTAGCGGGATATTTGGTCGGGATTGTCTTCCCAAGATATCTTGGGATAGTTTGCAGAATATCCCACTATTTGGCAAAACATCCAGCTATTTATCCGGTGCGTCTTCACCAGACCGAAGACTTGCACTATGCGCGAACGCTGAGCAAAATATCTTGAGCTAATTTCTCAAGGTCGAGTTTTAAGTTTCGAGGTCGAATCTCAAGCTGATGAAGACGCGATCTGTAACTTCGGGATTATTTTCCAAATCAGAAATAGCGGGCTATTTGGCAATCTCGAGATGATGAAGACGCGCCTAAAGAAATCAAGAAGCAAGACAGGTCGGAAACTAGAGCAGGGAGAAGACACACTGCTTAGTCCCACCGCATTGGTATTGAATGGAGGGTATGGGATTAAGGGATTAGTAAATCCTAATCCATACAAATTGTGGGACTGTGATCTGACATGGCGGATTTAAGAATGGGGGGTAGTGGGCTTGAAATACTACCAAGATTTGATCGGGTTGTGGTATTGCGTGTGCTGCTATAATGGGAATTAATTAATTAGCTGCAATATAGATGAACGTTTGAAATATAGATCAAGGTACTTGAAATAGTGCACTAGTGAAGAAAAGTGTCCTCTGATGACATATTTGAACATACGGTACATATACAAGTGTTCATTCTACATGTTCAGTATTTGGGTATGTGATTAAACTTAATTAGTTTTGCTTTGAGCTTTTGCACATGGGAGACTCGGAGTTGCCAAATTTTGTTTACCTATCTAACAAATGTAGGTCATATTGTTGTTTTGAATGTTAGATGGATGTTAAAGCGGTTAATTTGGATGAAGATCGCAAGATTGGGTGGTCTTTGTTCAAAGGTAGAGAACAAGTTACGTAGCTTATACAAGGGTTTTATGTACAATGGACTTACCAAACAAAACTCCATTACCTGAGCAATTATTGGTTAACATATAAATTTTACCATTCGTAAGAAGCGAATATCAAATTAATTTCATACCAAAGGGTTCTTATGCTTACCTTATTTCAGCTTTTACCCATCACTTTCTTCCCCTCCACCTAAAATAAAAGAGGGAAAAAAGTGCAATCAAGTTAAAAACAAACTGCTAGATGTAGTATGCTTTGCTCTGTTGGGTTGCCAAAGTTTGTTTACCTTTCTGACAAATGTAGGTCATATTGTTGTTTTGAATGTTATGTACTGGTACATGATAACTTGATCAATTTGGTTGATAATTGGATGATTCTGAAATTTTAAGACTCATTATTAGTTTTGATATATAGGGTAAGAGATTCGCTACCACTCCATATAATTAACCTTGACCTATATTGTTGATGATGATTCTTGTTTTTAAGTGTAATTCTAAGTAAGAGTCAATGGCCTTACCAAATGATGCAGCAAACTCTTTATATGTACATATACACCTGAAATCTTCTCTGCACTCACTGTCTATGCATGGTGGTGGAAAAGTAAGATCTTATTTGAGTAATAACTCAATCCGTCAGCGCTCATCAGCCTTTTGTGATACCTGCCTCTGCGATCAATCAAGGTGGGATTTGTTGGAGGAAGGTGACAATTGTCCGTAACTGAATAAACATTAAACTCTGAAGCGAGAGGAAAACTCACCAGCGTCGACGGCATGGGGTTGTTGAACCCACGTTCGATGACGCCGCAAAATAAGCGCTGCTTAAATGCTTCATGGAGTCATACAAATCAAGTCCTGCCCCCCCCCCCCCTTGAATCCTATCTCGCGAAATTTTGTCAAAGGAACATATAAGACTGTAGGAAAGGAGATGAGTTTAGCTTAAGTTTTAGCTGTTGTTCTGAGGCTTCGACCAATCAGCTCGTTGCTGTGGGGAGTCGGCTAATCCGCTTCGGACCGAATCTTGATCCAGCATCCGTCGTCGGGCGCTGATCCTATCCCAACAATCCCTGCGACCCCTGTTGACCTCACACTTCCTCTTGGTAACCCCCGAGTGTGGCGGGGAGATTAGGAACATGGACGAGAAGGTCTCTATTAGAACTCATTTAACACGATCTGCATTTCCAGTGTGGGAAATTCATGGTGTTAAAGGGAGTCATTACAATCAATTTCCATGTCTGTGCCATTTTGAGTTTGGGAAGAGAAATTTATAATGATGGTCATTCACTTTAATGCTGATTTTATTTGCTATTGTGTATCACACCCCAACCTGTTATGATTTTTCATTAGAAAAAATTGGGACAGTCATGTACATGTGTATTCACAGAATGGTATGTAGTAAGTCTATATTCTTCATCTGAAAGAAAAGAAAGAAACAGCAGTTTGATAAATCATGCGATAATGTTAGAATGCTGAATGCAGTAGAATTGAATTAGTGAAGAAAACTGATATGCTCAACATCTTGTTTTCCCTTCTCTCTCTCTCTCTCTCTCTCTCTCTCTCTCTCTCTCTCTCTCTCTCTCTCTCTTCCCTTCCTCTTTATGTCTCTCTATCTCCTCTCCACATCTCTCTATCTCCTTCCTTCTTTCTATTTCTCTATCTCCTCACTCTTCCTCACGCTCTCTCCCCCTCACTCTCACTCCTTCTTTCTTTCTTTTCTTTCTTTTCTTTTTTGTCTTTTCATACAATATACCATATTTCTCTTCCCCTATATTTTCAGAACACACATTTCCAGAACAATATAACGTTGCTTGGTACGACTGGTTTTTTGTTGGATGTAAGTAAAAGAGTCTTTTTTTTATTCCCTCAAATTTATTTTTAGAAAAAAAATCTATACATGTAGTTTAGTTTAGCATAGTATAAGAGGACAGTATTGATGGAGTCCTATTTATAATTGGAAAGTACAAAAAGCCATATTGGGCTGGAAAAAAAGGGGAAAATGTGAAATTTATTAATTTTTTAAAGAGCTCTTTTTAAGTTTTGTATCAAATAACATGCCTTATATGGTCAGTTTGTCAGTGTTTTAGAATAGCATTAACAATATTTCTGTAGAAGATGAACATGGATGTTACATAAGGATGTAGCAGCAAAGATTAGAGATCTTGTCAATCTTGTGTTTTAAGGAATCATCAAGATGAAATGACTTTGACTAACTATCTATTGTGAGGAAATTATTGACATCGCGTTACAATTCATGTTTCATTTTGTTCCTTTTGCCTCCCCCCCCCCCCCCTCTCTCTCTCTCTCTCTCTCTCTCTCTTTCAGTTTATTGCATGGAGGCCTTTCTAAAGATTCTTGGTTTTGGACCGAGGGGTTACTTCACTTTGGGCTGGAATCTGTAAGTTACATGTTTGTATGATACAACAATATTTTTTTTTAAAGTTGCATATAATTATAGAGATTGATATACTTTTATACAATTCACACCTAGATCCCAATAAAATGATTTTTCAACGCGGTCGTGTGTGATTCATTTATTGAGAGTATGCCACATGTTTTTACCTGCTATAGTTTTCAGTACTATCCAACATTTGTTACGTATGCGATGCTTTAAACTTGGGATTTATTTGTCAGCACTGGCATACTGATGGGGGCCAATAAAATTCAAACATGGTTTATTTTTAATTCGATATTCATGATTTACAAATGTTGATGAAATGACATGATTTTCCAAGTTTTTTCCTTCTCACTTCTGTCCATTATGCCACCTGTCGGTGATGTAGATTCTTGAATGTTTATGTTTAATTATAACTATTTGTAAAGAGCTCTTCATAAGAAAAGCAAATTTTCTTTACCATATTCTGCTTATACACAGTCTATTTATCTTTGATGTTAACCTTCATGTTTATTGTGTTTCTGTAGGTTTGACTTCATCATCACAGTCACAGCCTTCATTGGTGTCGTCACACAAGCGGCAGACAAAAACTTCCAGTATATCATTATATTGAGACCTATTAGGTTATTAAGGTGAGCTGGAATTAGTGATGCACCCTTCATACAGTGCATGAGCCCCTCATACTTTGAAGGAGAAAAATACACTTCATCTCCCCTTCCCCATACTCTTCTCTTTAAAAAAATAAGATTTGCACTTTTAAAAATAAGTTTAAATTGAATTTTTCTAGTAGATATTGTTTGATTTTTGTCTCCTGTGATGTAAAAAAACAAACATAATTTGCAAAATTAACCCTTGTAAGCGCTATTTTAAAGCTAAATATTGTTTTTGTATTATTAGAAATGGAACATTTATATATTTTAAATACTGTTATTTATTCTATGTGCCAATTATGACAAGGCACAGTTGTTTCGCTGGGTCCTTTATGAAGTTGTCCCCAAGAGGGCAGTATTACACTTTGTTTGTGCAGAAATCAGACTCCATCTGAAGTATTTGACTCAAAGGTGTAATAATTTATGAATATCAAAGAATTTCACTGATATGAAATTATATTGATGTGATTATTCTTTTTTTCTTTTTTCCCCATAGAATATTCAAGATTAATAAGAGATATCGTGATGTATTTGGGACACTATATGAACTGACACCACGAATGGCAAGGTAATTAAATTCATCTTTGTCTGCATGTGTAAAGATAAAACACTTTGATAACAAAGCTTAAGAGTTAAAACTAGTATTAAGCTGGCATATTGTAAAATTAAGAGAGTAGACTTTTTGTGGTTTACTGTAGCTGTTACTTCCTATATCAAAGCTTTTGAATTTGTTAATTGGTTTTCATTTTTAGACAGTAATTTGTATATTTAATAGCAAACCAGTATTATAAGAAAACAAACAACAACAACAAACTGCACCTACATGAAACATTCCCCCAGCATCTTTTGCGTCCCATTGTCATTGTTTACTCTTAAAGCCATACTATACTAGAGGCGCTCCTCTAGTGCCATCTCAGGTCAGCCGTAGCAGTATGGTCATTTAAAGACACTCAGTAGTCAGCTCTCATGGGAAATTCGACACTGTTCGGGTGTTTACCTAATAAATGGTGTTATCAATCACCAGGGTAAGCCTTGAGTTTTATGACCAGTAGACCTTATGTAATGCTTGCTTTTCCCTCACCGAGTCTTGACTGGCCAACGGGTTTGCTGTGTGCAGATTTGTACTTAATGGTATTTCCACCAAGTCTGGTGTCAGCGAATTATGGCCTTCTCAGTGCACATGGAAACTGACGTGTGACTCTCTTTAACTCGCTTCCTCTCTAGCTGCTATTGGTTCTTTTTTATTTTTGGTCACTTCAAGGTACATTGATATTATTGACAAATGATTCACACACCAGTGATAATGAGCATTTGATTACATAATGCATTGAACATTATACAGCTTATTAACATATCAAAAGTCTTTCTTTTCTTATCTGACATTGGGCCATGCCCTGCCACCTGCTGTCATGGGCAGCTTTTTTCTCATTACGTATAGCAATGTATCTCTCCATTTTGTACGATTTAATTAATAATGAAATGAAGTTAGAAATATTGTTCTTGCTATTGGTTCTTGCATAGAGTCCTCTGTCTGCGATATTGAAAATTAGGTATTAGGTTAAGCACTGTTGGCAAGTTGACCATGAGATGGCACTGTGCAATAAACTGTATGCTAGGGCAGACTCTTCATCAGTCCAGTATTGCTTTAATACTGTTGCTGATTGAACTTGACATGTTAACTTTCAATTGACCTGATAAATCGTCGCTGTTTTCACGAAGTGACGGTAGTGAAAAAAAATTGCATTCACTTTGCGTTACGATTTTCCTCACTACCGTCACTTCGTGAAAACAAGGACGAAATGGTGATATTGCTTGGACATGAAGTATTTAATTTTGATTTATATCATTTTATTCCTGTCAGTGTTGGGGTCTGTCTGCTCATTATATATTACTTCTATGCTATCGTTGGAATGGAGTTCTTTGCTGAATCTCAACTGGAGAACTGCTGCAGGTCAGTGCTGTCATTAATCATACTTTCGTTTACGTCCTATAGCAACAATTGCTATTAACTTTTACACTGGTGTACTGATCGGGAGGGGGGGGGGGGGCTTAGGGGGCAATTGACCCCCAAAATAAAATTCAAATATGATTTATTTCTAACTCGATACCATTGATTTAGAAATGTTGCTGAAATGATATGATTTTCTGGGATTTTTTCTCATTTTTTGTCAATTATACTCTTTATGCGTTTATTGGAAAATGACAAATTACCAAATTTACAGTGAGGCAAAAGGTATGCTTATTTAAAAGCCTACATATCAGGGGCCTATGGAACAGCAGGGAGCCCCCCATCACTTTTTTTTAAAAGTATGTTAAAGAGAAATAAAAAGGAAGAATAGTTGCCTGCCAGTGTCACAAATGAGGTATCAAAATATGCTCATCTGACCGTATTCAAACGCCTAAGACCCCTGAGCATTTCAATTCGCATTTATATCATTCTCGATTAAAAATGACATTGAGCGAAATATACAAAAATAATTCATAAACAAATTTAGAAAATGAAATGGGGAACTACATAAATAAAGCCCTTAGGCATTGTACAAGCATAGACCCCATCAAAGGCTCTGACGCAGGCCCCTGGATGCTAATCTGACCCTAATTTAATGCCTAAAACCCTTGAGCTTCATGAATCTCAGCCCCCTGGATCCAGAGCCAATTAGTGACCTGCCAGTGTCACAAATAAGGTATCAAAATATACTCAGCTGACCCTGCCGGGGTTTTGCCTCTCGACCCCAAGCCAATTTACGCTCTACTTACTTCGCTTGCTAAGCTCTTCCTGACCCCCCCCCCCTTCCTCACTTTGAACAGTCTTTCGTGGGGCCTTCATGTAAGTTTTTGTCCTAATGTAATGTTGATGATAATTGGACCTTGTGGATTTGAATCAATAAACTTGAAAACCTGTACCATATAAGAGTGGTGGTGATGCAATTTTTTTTTCTGCCCCCCCCCCATTTTTTTTTGCTAAGTACGCCTCTGAGCTTTTACATCATCAACTATACGGTAGGGTTAGTGCTTTAGGTTAATTTAAAACCAGGTAAGTTTACATTCATGACACTTTCATGACAAGTGGTCCAGATTCAAGTAAGTTCATTACTTTGCAATTCTAGTATGTTATTACATGTCCTACTTTTCTAGCTTTCCTTAAATTTATTTTCAATTGCATTTACAGGAATGATACTTTTGCAGACTATTACAGCAACTCATCAAGATACAAAGATTATTTCTACCTAAATAACTTTGATGATATACTGAGGAGTTATGGTAAGCAATCAATTGTTTTCCAAAGCCATGTATTATAAAACTTTAACCCAGTGTGAAAATACTGATCAATCCCAAGTCTTCATTGAATGCAATCATACTGGCAGAAAATTTCCAATGAATTTTGATTTCTGGAATTATTTTGGTACTTTGGTTAAGTTAGACTGCAAATTTATTGAAAACGTACTAGTGAAATTTCTGGCTGGGACCACTTTACAGCTAGATGTACATGTATGTACAGCTTATCTATGAATCCTGATTGTGCACTTTTCTAACACGCATTAATTGTAGCGATAAAAATCCTGGTACCTGTAGTTGGTAGAATGTGTATTTTTGCAATCGCTTTGTGATTTTGAGGAATACTTGCAATTTTGGTGTACTTATAATTCAGATTCAGAATCAAATTTTATTGTCCATGTTAAAAAACACGGAAATTTGGCCTCCACATATATAATGGAATTGAGATGATAGATAAATGATAGATTAGCATTATTTACAATATGTAAGAGCCAGATGGTATGCATGAAGTTTGTTATGATTTACAGTATGTACTTCTAGGATGGTTACCTGTTAGTAATGTAATTTACTAGTATGATGCGTCTAATCTTTATCTTTAGGCAATTTTGATATACCTTCTTTTTCTCTTGCAGTAACATTATTTGAATTGACTGTTGTCAACAACTGGCATATTATAATGGTGAGTAGTAATTCAGATTTTACTCTATGTGTATATATATATTTTGTCTTGCTTCTGTGGTCAAGATAAATTTAGCCACTAACTGTATATAAATCTTTATGATGTCCCACAATTGAGCTTTTCAGTTTTCCAAAAAATCACTAATTTTTTCAGCATGGGAAGGGCTGATTTTTTCAAAAATAGTCATTAGCTCTCTCGGCTAAATCGTATCAAAGCCTCTTTCTTCTTCTGTTTCAGGGAGGATATGCATCAGCTGTATCAGAATGGAGCAGAATATACTTCTTTCTCTTCTACCTATCTAGCATGGTAAGTTAAACTGCTCTCTCAATAGATATTCATATAAATTCTCAATTCTCGCTATCGCGAATATATAAAAAATACCCATATGTAACATTCAGCCCCCATTATTGATCCATATTTTCCACTCTCCACCCAGGTGTAAATGGGTACCTGATATACTAGAGCCTTACTTATTTTGCCGCTCAGCTCAGGGTTGTAATAATGGAAAACATCAGGAGCATCAGTATCGGCTTTTAAAATGTTCTCTCTTTTTTTTCTTTTTTTTTTCAACGTTAAAAAAAAAAAATGTGTAATGAATAAAAAAAATATGTATTAAAGCGATCAAAACTGAGAAATGTTAGCCCAAAGAGGGAGAAAAAAAAAGAGTATAAAAACAAAAAAAGATTTCTGACCGACAGACTCATGTTTTGGCACCTAAAGGGCAATACAACATTTTTTTTTTAGGCCTTATTATCATATGATATTGCTGTCATTTTGATCTTCTGCAGCTCCATCTCAGTGGATGCCAAAGGTTCACTTACTTCTCATTTCAATGTTAATGTTTGGTATGCGTTTCATCTTGCAGGTGGTTGTCACCATAGTGGTAGCATTCATCCTAGAAGCCTTCCTCTTTAGGATACAGTACCACCAAAGAAAAGCAGAACAGACAGATGAGAATCAGGTCGATGATGGGGAATGTAAGTCTTCATGGGGGTTCCTCAAGATTAGAGCGCTTTCGCAAACACAACGGAAGCAAAGGCGACGGGAGAATTACGGCGATACAGCTCTTCCGTCGCGAATGAACGTTATCATGCCCGCATACGGTCGTGAAAATCAACAAGACAGAGAAAATTCTGGTTCGCGCATGCGCAGATTGTTTTTTCACTCATGTTACCATCTTTGCGAAAGCGCCTTGTTGTTTGGTTGTTGATCCATTTATCAAATGTATAATTATTGTCCTGAAATGCACTGTAACTTGGGGGAATGAATGAATCAGTCAGTCAGTTAGTCAGTTAGTCAGTCTACAATCAATTGATCAATCAATCAACCAATTCAATCAATCAAAATGAATCTAGCAACATTTTTTCAAAGAAAATGAGGGATAGAGCAGCCTAGGTACATGTATATAGAAAAGTTCAAGGTTAAATATTATGGATGTCCATGTATACGCTACGCACGAATCATATCATTGGATTGTGTATAAATACCAAGAGGATAAGATGCCTTATAAGATCTCCTAAATGGAGGGAATCTAATTTTGGTGGGATACCACCAAAGAAGACCTGAGCCAACAGGAGAGAGTCAGGCTGATGATGGGGAATGTAAGGGTTTACCTTTTAGACTGTTTTATCATTGGCCATCATATCACATAGTCCCATTCAGAGGTAAGATGGTGAACAGGTTAAATGAAACCACCCACCGTTTAAAATTTAATTAAATTGTGTAATGCCCATTTCTCTATCGCCTAATAGACTGATCAGTGAGCACACAGAGAAGCCATTAGTGCAGGCAGCTTTAAAACAAATTGGGAGCTTCTCTTTAAAAAAAAAATCAGTACAGTGAAACCTATATATATATATATACATATATATGAAGACCACCAAAGGAAAACGTGAAAAGTGGTCTTTATGTACAGGTACCTTTAGTACAGGTTTCAATGAGAAACCTTCAAGGAAAAAAATTGGTCTTTACAGACAGATGGTCTTTCTACACAAGTGGTTGCTAAATCAGGTTTGACTACAGTTTGCAGTCATTTGTACCATACAATACCAGCAAACTGGTCTATTAGAAGGTTTTCATTTTAGTCTGCCTCTGGCTAAAAATCAAATTTATATTGTTTTCTTCCCTTACTCTTACAGCTGAATCAATTGTTGAGGTGTCCATGAGCCTGACTGCCGTCGAAGTGGATGATTTCTTCCCCAGAGCTCGGGCAGACGTGAACCTCTCCCTCCTGCTGGGTACCCTTCATAGAGGGGTAAGTATGCAGTATTAAAATCATGTTCACCCATCACAGAAGAAAGATGGGGGGGGGGATATTGTAGAGAGAAATTATTGCCCCTTCATTTGTGAGAAAGTTGTGACTGTTTGAAAGTGAGAGCATAAAAGGGCAGTCCAACATTTCTAACTTGTTTGGTTTTGTAAAAACAGCGAGAAGTAGAGAGCAATAGAGAGATATATGTTAGTTTGAAAGAAACAGGACAAAAAGTTAGAATGCTTTGAATTGGAGGTTGCTATCCTATGTTAATGTGTAATGTAAATTCTGTCATTTGGCTGTAACAGAATTGGGGAAACTCTTCTGTTTGTTTGAAATAGGAATCTCAATTTCATTTCAGAGAAACTTTCCCTCACTGCTTTTAAGATATGTTAAAGATCCAAATTTGTTATAATGTACGTCCTCCATAAAAAGTCCTGCTCAGCATCGACATTAGGCCATTAAACAAAAAAAATTGTGTATAGCATCCCCGTCCGCTTCCTTTGGGGAGGGCCGCCTCCTTTTTTTTAAAATAATTTTTTATAATTTTCTTTTCTTTGCCCGACTGTCAGGGAAATTATACCGAGTGGCTATTTTGAGCGGCCATTTTGAAAAAGAAAAAAAAGGGCCTCCTCCTTCCCATTTTTCAAAAAGGCAGGTCGCTAAACATGTTTTGTTTTTTTATTTGGCCTTATAGAAATATGTCATTCTGTCATTTCATGGGTAGGAGCAGATTGGGGAGTTATTTGTCATTGCATCACAGTGACCTTATCATTTCACAGACATGAAAATCATGTTTGTGGAGGGATATCTCTTCGGAACTATTCACTATAAGGTTGGATTTCCCTTTAAAGATTTTAGCCATTGTGTATGAATACATCCTCCTTCGCTTAACCAAGCAAAATGTGACTTCTTGTATTAAAAGGGCTTTTCAAAGCAAAGAAAAGACAGGAAGTGTGTAAATACAATAGAACAGCAAGACAAGGAGATTCAGTGGTAAAATCTAAGAGAGCTTTTGTAAGGAAGTTGGTTATTTGATCAAGGGATTAATGGCAAGAAGTTCATTGTGATCATCACACAATAGCATGTGTGATTACCACGTTATCTTATGTACAAGAACTTATTTTGTTAGTGGTACCCTTTTCTTCACCTGGATTCCATTGTCACGACATGTACCTGGGGAAATTCTGTTATATCCTCATTTGTGTATGCCTCATATAGCCGCCCACATGTTGAGTTGTTTTTAAAATATGTCAGTATTTAATGTTACTTGATGTTCTTTGTATTTTTATTTGTGTTACTTTATTTCCTGGCATTTTAGTATCATATGAATATTTCTCATTTGATTAAATACATGCATGCATGTAGCTTAAATTTATCACCCAAAGCTACCGTAAATCTCCATGTATAAGACGCACCTGTGTATAAGGCACACCCCGATATGTGCTTGTGAACTTGTCACAAATATTAGTAACAATGTCGTTTTTAGAAGAATGTGTAAGATCATTAATGTACCGGTAAATTAAAAACAGTAGAGTACCTAGGATAGAACCTTGTGGTACGCTATGTGTAATAGAAGAAAATTTGAGGAATTATTATTATAAACTACATAACGGTATTGAGATCTATTAGAAAGATTACTTTCAAACCAAGATGACTGACAAACTTGAGTGTTGTTGTAGTTTCTGAGTGGTGAGTCAACACACCGATTACTGAGCTGGGAGACATTGCCAGGCATAGCGCCGGGTGGAGGGGCATAAATCAAAACTTTATTTTTTTTTTGTACCTGTGTATAAGACGCACCCCCTACTTTCAATTTTTTTTGGTGGCAAAAAGGTGCGTCTTATACACAGAGTTTTACTGTACAGTCAATTCCTCTTAAAGTTACCTAACATTAATTGATTAAAGTCTTGTATTACTCCATGAAAATCACACTTTTCTATATTTTTACTGTACTTTTTTATATGTACAGAAGCTAGGAGTATTCAATGCTGATACCAAAATGTAACTCAACTCATGCAGAGCAAAAATAAAAATACTGAATGAAGAAATAAAAAGTCATTGAATTAACTGTCTACCTCACTTTGGACATGACATCATTAGGCCTTAAAAAAAAAGATGTTGTATTGATGTTGCCCTTTAGGTGCCAAAACATGGGTCAGTCGGTCAAAAAACTGATTCTTCTTTTTTTTCTTCCTCTTTTGACTGATATTTTTCGGTTTTGAATGCTTTAATATTTTTTCTCTAAAAAATGATAACAATAAAAAGCCAACCATAGATTTCAAGATTTTTGGGTCGGTCGCAAGCCAAAGGGCAATACAACATCTTTTTTTTGAAGGCCTTATGGAAGCTATATCATTTCTTAGGTGCCAGTCTAACTCTCTAATGCACATGTATCATTTGATCCATAAACTGATTGTACATTCTTGTTCTCTCTTCTTTGAATGACTAGGGTATAATAGCATACAGAGGGACGAGGCAAAGGACCAAAGCTGACCTGAGCAAGACTATGTATGCTGAAGAAGTCAAGGTATTTTCAAATCAATCACATATTTAAGCCCCACTGCACTACTTATTACTTGCACCCTCTATATAGCAAACAATGCCTAAGCGGTGACCATTGGTCCCCCATGGTCCCCTTTTTCCTTATGTTAATTGTGAGATGATTTGATGAGATAACCACCTGTCAGTGACCAGCAGGGTGGTCTCATCCCTCCTGGCCAAACTAGTGCAGATAGGCTTTAAGTTGAATAAAAGATACTTATACCAAAATCAGTTTGTTAAAAAAGGATATTTAGAAAGGTGTGTAGTAATGACAAACAAGGTCCTCATCGAAGCATTTGTGACACCTATGGTATCAGGCATTAGGAATTTTCTAAAAAGAATACCAAGAGCAAACTCTCTCCTGACAAGGGTATCAACAAAGATAATAAATACGACTACACATTTGAATGTATATTGCTTAAAAATACATAGTTACTTTGTTTGTAATACAAGCCTGATAATTTGCCAATTTAAATTGGTTTCTCAATTTTCGTCCTGATTTTTTTTTTTTTTTTGAGGGGGGGGGGGGGTTTATTTTCATCATGATTTTTTTTCTAAAAAAAAGGATAGTCCCTGAGTCCTGAGATCGATGTGAATCCTGTTTAAAATTAGGGGGGTGAGGTGCCGTTTTTTCATGACTTGCTTGAGCGCCTAACTCAAACGCTTTGCACCTTGGTTCGTGTGGAATTCTAAAACTCTAAAACTCTTTTTTTTTCACTCTCACTAAAACCCTTTTCTTGTTACTCTCACTATCCCACCTGATCACAGGAATGGATCAAGGAAGCCGACAGAGAGCACCACGAAGATCTCCAGAACTTTGTCCGTCAGATGAGCCGAAACACCCTCCTCACCGAGCTAGGCGACTCCACCGCCACCACCCCGACCGACGACGATGGGCCCACGCCCACGGGCTCGCCCCTCGTCCAACCGTCCACCGCCACTGCCATGCCTGCGAGGGTGAATCCGTTTCTAGGGAGGCCCGAGCCGACCTTGACCTCAAATCACCACACGCCAACTAAGGGCGAGCCAAGTATCAACAGAGTGGAGGGGCATGATGAGGAGGAAGACGATGATGATGATGATATTCTTGGAGATGAGTTATGAAATTAGGTTAACTTCTAGAAAGGTTAGGACTTCTAGAAAGTATTCATGTGGGTACAAAAGGCTTTTCAATAGACCATTGGCTGTCCAAGGCCCCATTTCACAAAACTTGTCATCAGTGACAAATGACAGTTTTTGAAAAAAAGTTTTTTGAAAAAAGGATCCTTAGAAGAAGACCATATGCTAGAGATTTTGGCTTGTGATTTGATTTTCCATTTGTCATCTATTTTGTTCAAGAAAATTAAACTCTGTCTAGTACTGACTTTAAAAAAAACACAACCAGACTGATTATGGAATCGTGGTTATGAATAACAATGCTCACTGCACTAGAATGTGCAGTGAGTAGAAATGTATTTATTGCAATTTACATCGAAACCTGTACATAAAGACATGAGTTACGAGGAAGGTGGTCCTTATAGGCAGGTTGTCTTTAAGTCAAAGTTTGTTTTAGTACAGGTTTCAATGAGGAAAGCTATCTAGCGAAACAGACATTATAGTCACTATAAATAGGTGGTTGCTAGCAGAACTGACTTCATGTATAGCAGGTATTTTATTGTGTTTTCTTTCTGAGCAGCCAATGAAATGGGTATTCAAATAGCCTATTATTTATTTATTAGAAAAGCTCTTGTGAGAAAATGTCAATCAATTTCTGTAATCAGAGTGTAGATCGTTTAACGGAACAGGACTCACCTCAGAAGCAAAAGTTTATTTACAAATGACCTCAGGCTGTAGGAAAATGTAATCCTGAAAACATTTCTGAAATACGTTTTGTTTTATGTGTTTATGATGAAAGATGATTTGTCAAATAGTGATGACAGTATACAGTAATTGAGAAAAGTTCTGTTTGTGTGACATTCTGTTGGAATGTAAGATTCTAAATGCATAAAAAAAAGGAAAATATTGTCATATTCTGTGCTATATCACAGAGATGTTGTGATTGAAGTATATTAGTATTCACCTGTACAGCACTAGTACAAGACCAGGAAATACATTTGCCAATTCGTAGGTCTGCTATACCTCGGTACTTGTCTAGAACGTACATGCTGCTTCTCTCTGTCTTATTTTCTTTTAAAAACATCTTCCTATTTCTCATTTACGCTCAACGAGTCCTGAAATTGTCTTTTATTTGCAGAGTCCGTCAATGAATTTAAAATTAGACCATTGCAGTTCATGGTTTGTTTAATTTAGTACATGGATGCTGCCCCAAGTAGTTAATGATCAACCTTGCTAGTGTTCTCTTTTCTCAGTGAATTAACCAAATTCTATTTGTGTACATGGTACCATATACTGAACTAAACTGCCTCTTAATATGCTATACATTTAGTAGCAAACAGATAATGGTAACATTTATGATGATGTATATGTATAAGAAAGCTTACCCCCTTGATGCAATGCTACATAAAGATTATTTGTAGATTCTTGATTTTAATCTAGCTCAATTGCACTACTATGTGAAACATTGCCAATATCCGTTAATAGGAAATAATGTGTGTTCTTTAATATCCAAGCTCTATTTAAGAAATGGTATAATCATTTCATAGTCTTTTTATTCATGTATAAATGTATCTAATGACACAAGAGTCTGAAGTAAAGAATCATATTCAACCAATATAAGGATATTCTTAATCTGTAAATACATCAACAAGTTATTTAATACAGCTCAGAAGATATTTAGGTCGGATTAACTTTTCAGTTATTGAATTTAATTCATTGTAGCAATATAAGCAGACTACAACATGTATATAGACAACTATAATAAGCTCTAAGATATACATAGTACTTTCATGTTGCAGCTTTAATATTGTCATATATTTTTGCTAGTTTTTTTTCTTCTATAATTTCTTTACCGGTAATTTTTCATGGATTATTACTTTTCTAAAATGTATTTCTACTGAAATATTTTTGAGATGAGAATTTGGGGGCATGTATTAATTTCATGGTAAGTTTATTGGTGAGCATCGAAGACATGTTCTGGTATAAAAAGAGATATGGTGCCTATGTTTACTTTTGTCCGTGATGTGGACTCAAGCAAAGGGATACCAATTTCGATTAAAGCACATCTGCACTAGTTTGGCATGGAGGGATTAGACCCCCCTGTAAGGTCACTGGACAGGTTGTTATCTCATCAAATCAGCTCTCAATTAACATAAGAAAAAGTGCATCATGGAGGATCGACGGGTACTGCTTTAATAGGCATCGTTGGCTGTATAGAGGCCGCAAGTAGCTACAAGTAGTGCAGTGAGGTTCTCGGAGCTCAGGAGACCAACAATGTTTTTCTTGTAGGCCTTTTGAAAATTGATCCTAGAGTTCACAAGACCGATAATGATTGTGCAATGCATGGATGTGAATGTTGTTTTGTGATTTCTTGTGATCTAAAATATGCAATACAACTCATTGTATATGTGTGTATCTCTATAAGCTGTGAATATTAAACAACGGTAAAATTATATGGTGCTACTATTGCAATGTTAAGTGTTCATGTTCATTTATAACAAGTAATTTCTGTTGACCAAGTCAAATGTACCAACTGTTGTAGAAATTTCTCTTGATGTACGCCATTGCCCAAGGCTTGTACGACATTGCACCAAATATGTCAAAGTGTTTGTTGAATACAAGATATGTGATAAGAATATTCATGTTTAGATGTACAGTAGGTAATCACTAGATGTTTAATATCTCTTTTTCAATACTTTCTGTAAATCCCTACATGTACTTTCAAAGTATTAAAAAAGTGCTTGCTTTTTATAGAAAAGATTCACATAGATGTGCATATAGATATAGAAGTACTATTAGAATCTACAAGGCTCTCTTTAACTTTCTATTTTCTTTCTCAACTTTGAAACTTAAAGAGATGCCCAGGTTGCCCAGTTCAACTTTGTGTGGTCATTTGATACAGGTTAAAACGTACAACCATGTATGTTTGTGTTTGTTTTCGTTTTTGAGATTTTTAGGGTGCCAGAAAGTACTTTGTATTGTCGATGGCACCTGGACAATGGCTAATCTTGAGCCTTATCCAAGGTGGATGAAAGTAATTCTGTACTACTAACCTTGCAAATACTCTAGACATAGCATTGCTACCTACATATATGTTTAAGTTTCCCAGCTAAGTGCATATATTACTGCTGACATATCCTAACAGAGAATATTGGAAATTGATGATCTAGAAATCCAGAAAATTAATGTACACTATACCCAAATCAAGTATGATAGTGCTTATTAAGAAGGTAAAACAAAAGTTTTTACAAATGGAGAATATACATCTTATCATAAATAAGAAACAGTTATAGTAGGTAATTATATCATAATACACATTATTTGTATTGCTATTTTATAGATTAAATTGACTATATTATGAAAATATCCCTATAAATGTATATTTCCATTTTCACTTTTGCATATCTTATTTGAGGTATGAAAGGTAAGGGAATATCAATTTATCAGATAATTTATATTCAATTTTGAGAGTTTCCAATATCAATTAGTTGCATACCTACATCTGAATTTTTTAAAATTGTAAATAATTGTCTTATTTATGCATACCTGTATGTCACATCGTAGAATTTTACTGCGATTTAGTCAATAGTACTGGATGATAGTATTCCTACCTTTTCCCTGCATTTGAATTATTGTAGTATATAGGATTAGATAATATGGTAACGTCGTAGAAATTATGAAAATGAATTGACAAAAGATAATAATTTTATGAATGGCAATTTTTGTGGTCAATAAGAATACTGGTAGCCAAAATTCCAACTGTACCACAGGATAAATAATCACAGAATATTTCTTATCATAATTAGAGGAATAATTTTAAAGGAATTTAATGTCATTGTCACTCACCATACATATATTTTCCCATTACACTTTGGACTGCTTTCTACACATGTATTTTCAGAAGTTAAATAGTTGGTGTATAGTCTGACTTTATGTGTACCAGTACAAGCATGTACACTTCTTTGCGACTTACAAAGCACTCGTTTACTAATTCTCGACTTTGTAACGTATCCATTTACATTGGTCTGTGTGTGTCTGAACTCTTGTGTAATTCTGGTAGCCTTCAAGGTACTTTGAAAATTCTGTTTGGTGTATAAACGTATCACAACCTTTTAAGCCCACTTCCTTGCATGTATGATAGTGCAGTGTGCATGACACAAGTTTTTTTTCCTTCTTTTTTCATTTGTCTTTTTCCTCCTGTGCTGTGGAATGGTGTACAAAGTCTATTAGGTTTGGGAAAGATAAGAAAAAACTTATATTACAGAATTGTGGTTGTTGTTGTTTTTAAGTTATAGACCAAGTTTTGTGGTAAGTTTTAAAATACCTGAATAACTTTGATGAAATGAAGTATTATTAAAGAGGTATGACGTTTCTGGTAGTATTGGAATGCGGGTATGGTTGTTTTAGTATGAGATTCAGGAACTGTAATTGATTGTTTTAACTTCCTTTATTGTATGTGTTAACATTGCATACACAGTGAAACCTGTATATAGAGACTTCCAGGGGAGAAAGAAAAGCTTTCTGAATGAGCAGGTCGTCTTTATTTACAGGTTCCTTTAGTACTTGTTTCAATGACAAATATTAATATTTAAGGGAAACAGAAAGTGTGGTCTCTGTATACAGGTGGTCTTTCTATACAGGTTGTCAATAAAGCAGGTTTTGTTGCTTTCTCCTCAGTTATTCCAGATACAGTCATGCAAGAGACCATGTGGTGATTTGAATGTAGATCTTTATTGCTCAAGTTTTGAACAGTCATTGCACATATAAATGTTGTATACTGCCTTTTTATGTATCGGATGAAATGTTATTTGTTAGCAAAAGAACTATCTCATTACTCCTTTCACCTGCATATAACTTTGTGGATTATAATTGTTATCCATCTGTCCTATTTTAACTCATGCAATCTCTTTAATTCTGATCATATATATATACCTGTGTTGTGCTTCATCGAAAACAACATTCAAATTTTGTGTGTGTGTGGTTTTGCTAGGTTTATGTACTTAGAAGAAAGGAAATCCCTTATGTATGAAGCTATCTTTAAAAGCAGGTTATAGAGAATTGTTCAATAAGTAAAGAAG